CTAAGTGTCATGAAATTACACATTATCTCATTCAATACTTGTAGCAACTTTGTAAGATTTTCAGAGGAGGAAGCAAAGGATTAAAAAGATTAAGTAACTTGCCCAAGGTCACACCATTAGTAAGTGGCAGAGCCAAGTTTTGATGCCAACTTAGACCATACCCTGCTGCCTCATTCTATAAATATCTATTCAGTGCTTAGTTATTTTCAAGACATATTTCCCACCACTTAAGAAATCAGGCTGCATTACTCCTCCCCAGCTATGCCATGGCCCTGGCTCCAGGAAAGCTAACGCTCTAGAGCCTGTTAATCACTCAAGGGCTTTTGGGAAAAGTGGTCAGCTTCTGGTTGCAATGAAGTACTGTTTCAGTCCCTTTGAAGGGACTGACCGGAGATATCTTGCTTCAGTCTAAACTGCTGAGGGACATATTCAAGTGGATGGCACTCAACAGGTTTGGAATAACACATTCTTTAAGTGCTCTGAGTTTCTGACCAACAACGAAAAAATTCTATAGTTAGACTTCTCTTTCTGGACACTCACTAACAGTGATAGTGGAATTAGGTAGCTTCTATGTATATATTACATATAAGCAAAACTCTTCCTGGAGAGTTCATGTAGAAATTCATGGGAGGCTGGTCCTTGGATATCTATCTGTAAGACTCATGGCATCTTTGGCTCATATGTGAATACGGAGAGCTGCCTGTGTGAGGCTGATAACCCCACTCCCTCCTCCCCTCAGTGAAACCCTGTTTCCACCATTTTTTTTACCTGCATTGCAAACTCCCCACTCTAAGCCTTGGCATGTGTGTCTTTTTATTAACCTTTCTCTTCCATGGGCCAGCTCCTGGATGTGAGATTTGTATAGTTTCACAGGCCCCACATTTACAAGGACCCTGGGCTTGGCTTGATGCTCTGTCGTCACCAGCTTGAAATTCTTAGACATTTTTTAACAAGGGGCCCTACATTTTGCACTGAGCCATGAAATCATGTGGTCAGTCCTGCTCCTTCCCAGGGAGGAGTCATTTCACACAAGTTAGGAGCGGTGGTCCCTGTTTACAACTCAGCAGGTACTTCCTCATGGTGCATGGGGAGGTAAGAGGTACACCCTCTTTAGCTTCAATTTCTTCATCTCTGAAATGGGGACGGTAGCACTTACTCTTGTTACTGTGAGCCCTGAATGAGATCATGCATAATGCATTCCCATCAGAATGTTCAATACATAATAAGTATTTGCTAGGTAAAATCCTTGGAAGACAGAAGGTACAGTACATAGTTTGAATGCTGCAGTTAGGAGCTGGGTTAGAATCATATCAGACTCATTGCGGTAATCATTTAACAATATATACAAATACTGAATCACTATGTTGTACATCAGAAACTAACATGATGTTATATGTCAGTTATATCTTAGTTAAAAAAAGAATCACACCTGCCCTACTGCTTAAAAAGTTGTATGCCCTCAGTTCGGTGACTTGGCTTCTCCCAGCCTTAGTTCCCTTCCCTATAAAATGGAAATGCTAACATTCACCTTTTAGAGTTGTTTTGGGATTTAAACAGCTAATGTATTTTAAAAACTGAGTTTATCACTTGCTATGTAGTAGGAGCTCAAAAGGTAACAGTTCTTAGATTGGTTCCCTTATAACTCTATTTTTGCACTTGTATGATACAACTTCCTGTATGCTATATTGCTTACTAAATGTAATCTCCTTGTATATGAAAATAATTTTGTAAAAAATAATTGAGGATTATTTTTCTTTCTTTGCTAGACCATGAATTCCTCAAAGGCAGGGACCATGTCTTATTTCCCCTTGTGTCCTAGAACACTTGCTAATTTGTTAAGTCTCAGTTGTATTAAATCTTTCTTCTGCTATTTATGCCAACAGTAAGATGATAATTTTCATAACATTCCTAAATTAGCAATTAATATTTAGCTTGTCAATGATTAGGAAGTAGAATGTATTAAAAATACATTCTCTGCCATCAAAGGCCCTTGACTTTCACACTCAGCTCATCTTCTTGCATCCCTGGGTCTAGTTCTGGCTCCATTTACAAAGCAATTCCATCAGGGAACATAATTTAGTTTTGTGCAACCAACTACCCTCTCTGGCAACAACCTGTGTAGAGAGGCCACTGCGGGGAAAGACGTTGCTGAAACCTCAGTGTTTTGATTCCTGTTAGAATTCAAACATGCCCCAGAACTGTGACTTTTAACCTTTTGATGTTTATAGATCCCTCCAAGAACTTTTGGATAGTTATGGACATTGTCTCTAGAAAAGGAGATTAGATATCTTGCATACAAGGTCAATGTGTCCTTAGAGCTCCCACAGCTCCCATGCCTCAGGTTAATTCTAATTCTTGTTAGAATAGCCTTGAAAACTCAATGAACTATGTGAAAGACTCAAGTTTCCTGATACATTCAACTTCCACTAGTCACATTTCCATATTCAAAACAAAGAAAAAACAATGACCACTCCCTGGATTTAACCTCAGGGTTATCCCTGTGGGCCCAGCACCCCAGCATTAAAGGTAAGGGCTTCCAGCCAACCAGTGCCTACTTTTCGGAAAACCTAAATTCAGCGGAGTAAAAGGAAGCCTTGTTTGATAATATCGTTTACATTTCCAAATCCCTGGTATCAAGCTTTCTTCCTATCCCTTGTGGCCCTTCCTAAGTTTAGCTGCTGGTGTAATGGGGTAACCATGGCAACAACCACCTGCCTATTTAAAACTGTCTCCAAAGCTAAATAAGGAAGCTTTGAGAAAATGGCTGCTCGCCTGCCTCTCAGTGGACAAACTGGGCACTCCTGGGTGTTTTCAACACGAGCAAGCAGGGGGGACTCAAAGAAGCAGCATGAACTCAAAGTTCTTAATATAAAGTGTTCTGGGACCTTGTAAACGAGAGCCTACCTCTACCCCACAATTTCTTCACTTATTAGTAGGCACATGGATTTATATACAAATTCCCATGCCTGTCATTCTAGAGGACCATACTACCTTGACCTCAACCAGGTGAAGGTGAGGCATGAACCTAACTGCAGAGTGGTCTTGTTAATGGGGACTGGGCAGTAGGAAGGAAAAACAGTCATTCAGAACACGGTGAATTTGGTCATTCTTCGCACTGAAATGCATAATTACGACATTTTTTCTAACAGGTGTTTTTCTAATTGTACTCAACCATGTATATGATTGCTCTATTTATGTCATATGTTGACCTATGAATTTTTGGAATATGGACAAATTTCTCCCTCCCTTCGTTCCCTTGCTTTCTAGCAGCTACAGAGGTTTTGCCTCTTTCTGAGCCAAGACAGCACACAACTGATCACAGCTTGCTCTTTCCCAAACACACTGCATTGTCTCATTTCTTGATGTCTTTGTGTACATTTGGTTCCTTCTCCTTGGGTTGCCCTTCTTTTTTTGTCAACTTAGAAAATACATACATGGTTTTCTGTGTCTTGGTTTGGGCATCTTTGTTATTGGAAAGTTCTCCACACCAAGCTGCACGCACATTGGTCACCTGGATTCACATCACTTAACGCAAATCCCATGCATTTCTGCCTTCCAGTCTGTCTCCACCATTGGACTGACCACCCCCCACTCCCACAGGTCTATTCAAAACATCTCTGGAACAGTGCCTGGTATGGGTAAGTGGTATGTTTTCAAAAGATATATTCATTTTGAATGAATAAACAGAACCCCCATGGATTTCACAAGCACACCGGATCTTAACAAGCATGTGCGCATGAGTATGTATACGAATACCTATATGAAAAGAGGACCGCAAAAGTCTGGAGTGGATGGGGTATTTTTAAAAAGTGATTTCGTAAATAAACATGAGAGTGAAAACTGTTGTGAGAAGACAATCAATTAACTGCCTTGTAAGTTTGTGACTACAGTAGGAGCGTTCTGTGAGTGTGCGTGGCCTGTGTGTGGGCGTGAGAGCAACAGAATGCATGCCCTGAGACCAGTTCAGCAATGATAGGATCCTGCAGATCACTGTTCCTGAAGCTGAAAGAGCTTCATTATGTTCACTTTCTGATCTCTGAACATCTAAAAACTTTCTTCTTCCTGGCTAAACTTTCGGGTTGGGGGTCAGGGGAAAGGAGCAGGAATTGAAATGATGGAGCTTTTCGGGAGTTGGGCTTCAAGTGAAAGCCTCAGACACGCGGGCCCCTCATCAACAAGAAAGTCAGGCCCGCCAAGCTCAGTGTGAATCTTTCCCCACTTGACTGAGGGTAGTAGAGTGGGACCCAGGGGTCATCTTGAAATGATACAATAAAGAGGAAAGAGAAGGGATGAAAATTAACTGAGATGAAAAAAGGAAGAGAGAAAGGTAACTTAACAATCGCAGGGACAGTTAACGCCAGGCCCCACTCACTTCCTGAAAATTCCCTCCCGTCAGCAGGGAGGGTTTGGTTTTATTTGCAATTGACCTGTGGTTTTTCTTTCTCCTCTCCCGTGCGGACCTAACACTGCTCACCCGGTGCGGAAGGGGTCCCGCTGCCTCTGCTGCCCTCTGCTGCCGGGGGAGGAGGAGGCGGCGACGCCCTCCCGGTCCTCCGGGACGGCTCCGGGCTGCCGCCCCCTCCCCTTCGGGCCCGAGAGAAGCTGAGGCCCTGCCATCCTGCCTGCCCTCTCCCCAGGAATCGTGGGGCCTGGGGGTGGGGGAACGGCACATTTTGGGAAAGCGGCCGAGCCCCAGGAAGGGTTCCACTCAGCCAAAAACCGACTCCACTGCCTCCGGCTGGCGCATCGCCCCACTCCTCCCGCCCCCTGCTCCCTCCCTCTGCACGTCTCCCTCTGGGAGGGGACGGGAGGCTAGGCGGCGGCAGTTTTCTGACTTTGTTTTCGTTTTCGTCTTGGACATGGAAGCCCTCCTTCCGGCAACGTGGCAGGAAAGCGAAGTCCCTGGGCGGCCGGGCCAAGAACACTCGGGTGCTAGCAGGTGGAGGCCTCGGACTGGACCGCGGCGAGCCGGGCCCGCTGCCCTCCAAAGGCCCTCTTACCTGCTGTTGAATTTCTCAGGGTGTTTCTCTCTCATCACGTGGAACCGGTGTGCAATAGAAGCATCCTGAAAGGAGAAGACACAGAAAGCAGATCCCTGGTTAGTTAGTGGCCATGACCGTGCAATGTGGATGGACGGGAAGCAAAGGTTCTCACTGGAATCCCCCAACCTCTGAGAGCCCTTCTCACAGGGGAGAGAACAGGGCCAAGGTTAGGGGCTAGTGGCATCCACGCTTGTAGACTCCTTGCAGAATTCACCCTCTACCTGGCCATGGTCCAGGGGGAGGGAAGGGGACTGCTGCTGCGGCCCTGTGTTTGAGGAGAGAGGGTATCTGTCTGGATTTGTGAGCAGTGAGAACGCAAGAAGCCCTTGTATGTGTGTGGGAGGAGGAGGGTTACCGAGGGTGAGCCTTTGGAAATGCCTTGCCATATTCACTTTTAGAAAAATACTTTTTATTTTGGAGTATTTTAAAACAAGAAGTTTCAAAAAGAGTACAGTGAGTTCCTGCATCCCTTTCACCCAGCTCTCCCAGCGATAACTTCTTACATAACTACAATACATTGTCAAACCCAGAAAACTGATGTTGGCAAAACATGTGATACATTAACTCTTAACCACCCATAATAGTAGAAACAATCGGCAGTGTTTGATAACATGCCTAGCAGAGAATAGAAAGTCTGTTTAAACTCCTGGCTTCCACTTCTTGATCGCACCTGGAAGTAGCTCGCTCCAAGGTCCACGAGAGGCTCATTACCACATCCTACGGGCACTTTGCTGCCCTCCCATTAGCACACCCCTTGCTGTTTTCCTGGCCACCATCTCCTGAGAACTCAGTGTGGACGGCTCCTGACACCAGGCTCCTGGGTTTTCCATCCTGGGACCAGACCTTCTTTGCCCCGAGTGCCGTCTGTAGCCCACACTCAGTGTGGGGGCCGTCTGGAGTTCTTATGGCTGTTGCCAGCATCTAGATACTGTCTCCACAATATCTATCTTTAGTACCATCCCTGCACTTCAGACCTGAAAATGAACTCATCTTTCCTCCTCAAACTTGGTCTTCTACGCTAGTTAATGGTCTGATTTTCCAGCAGAAGAACGTGTGATGCCCCCTTGTTCCGCAAGCCCTGTGGTCCCACGCCAGTGCATTAGGGGCAGGTGATGAACTCTAGAGTTACACAGGCCAGTTGGGCTGGCGTGAGTGAGTAACAAACACAAGAGAGCTGATTCAGATTTGTTCAGGGGGAAAAAAACCCAGAAACTCATTTACTGGAATATGTGGGTAAAAGAGAACTGAAATTCCATACAGTGAATTCTCAGCTAGTGCGTATTAATTCTGTTTCTTAATGTGGAAACTCTACAAAATATTTTTTTCTAGGAGTTCTTTTTTTTTTAACGTAGGGAGGCATAGTGCAGTGAAGAAGCATTTTTTGAGCATATGCTGTGTGTGATGAGCAAAATACAAGCCAATGGTGGGGGACAGAGAGTCCAGAAGCAAGGTAGGGGGCAGAGAGGAGCTTTTGTAGTATGTACACTTGGCAGAGGAATAAAGCCAGCCAGCAGCCAACCCCCTGCTGAAGAGTAGACAGGGTAGGTCAAGGATGTGGGCTTATTTTGTGGTTGGCAAGTACTCTGTGATGAAATCATGTCTTAGAAATTTCAAGTTTAAACTCTAGTTATTGATTTAGATTTTAGTTTAAGACACACGAAGAGTTGAAGGTCTCGGTTAGGTAGGCACCCCTGTGGATGCACGAGGGGAGAGGCACACACCCCGGGGGCCCCTGTCCTCTGTCCCCAGAGCTGCCTGGGCGGTGCTCCTGGCAGCTGTGCTCCGTGCTGCCAGACTGCGCCCACCTCCTTCTCCCTGAGCAAGTTTCAGTGAATACCCTGAACAAAATCCATCTGACATCTGTCAAACGCTTCTCTAGAATTCAAGAAAACACTCCATCTGCTTGTGTTCCTTTGAAGAACCAATTTTCTTCTGTCAGGAAAAAGAAAAGAAAAGAAAAGAAAAAAGCAATCACACGTTGCCTGGCATGATTTGTACTTCATGACTCTCCCGCCCCCAGTGCTGCTTCGACGGGCTCCTGGCTCTTTTATTCTCTGGGATGTGTGCACAGGCCCCCTCCCCGTGCGGAGTTCCTGTATCCTTGGCTTTTCCTAACTAGGTTTTGCAAGACTTCTTTTCACAAAGAGCAGCTTTTACAATATAATTAGTAAAGCATGTGGGTCCTAATTTGACAATGTAATTCCCCGGTAAATGCACCAAGTGGTGAAGGAGAATCGAGTAGTTCCTGTGCTGTTCACTCTTGAAAAGTCAATGCTGGTCAAAATCTGACCATGTTGCCCTCTCTGAGGATTGAAAAGAGAGTCAAGACTCACTTTTACCCTCTGTTGGGCTTCTCTCTGTCAGGCACTGAGCGGGCTGTCCTTATATTTAGTAGTGATCTCATTTACATTTTGGAAACCAATGCTACAACGGGTCAAAGCCTTCTTTAGTAATCATTACAGCAAAATGGGACTTCTGTTCTGAAAAGAGTGGGGTGTTGATGGGAACCGCAAACCTGTGGATGGGATGATGGCAGTTTTGAAGACGTCATTTTCTCAGGTCCCCTCTGTGAAGTGTTGGGTGAAGAGATGACGGCGGTGAGGACACATGGCTACTCTTCCCCAAACTGAAAGTCCAGTCGCACAGTGGGACAGAATATTTCGGTACCCCTTCCAAACCTAAGCAGCAGTGTCTAGACTCTGAGAGGTCGGGATGTCTAGGCCAGTGATGTGCGGTAGAAATACGTTTACAGTTTTCTAGTAGCCACATTCAAAAAAGTGAAAGGAGAGGACATTAACTTTAAGAATATATTTTACTGAAGAAATCCTACCCTTGTAATTAATATGAAAATTATGGCAATATTTTCAATTCTTTCCTTCATGTCACACTTTTGAAATTTAGTGTGTATTTTATACTTAGCGCATCTCTCAGTTTAGACTGGCCCCATTTCAAGGACACAACAGCTGCAGGTGGCTAATGGCTACTATATTGGACAATGCATTTCTAAGTCCCTTTGGCAATTTGTGAAGATAAAAAGAGAGTGAGAAGACAGTAAAACAGATCATTTGAAATTTGGATTGTTCTGAAAAATTATGGCAGATTGGGGAACTGAAAAGAGCATAGACCTTTTGTTGAAGACCCTTTTAGTGAGTTCCATTGTTTTGGTACCTTCCTGGCTCTCACAGGTGACGGAGAAAAACCTGAGGCTGAGGGAGTCCAAATGTTAAATTCTGTAATGGGTAGGATGGCTGTCACTGTGGAAACTGGGCTGCTGAAGTCTGAGAAGTATAGTCTGTAAGGTGGAAAATGGTGCGTGGGGCAGTGTGGTGGCTGTGGTCTCTCCTTGGCCCCCAGGGTTCCCGAGCGTCAAAAAATAGATTTCATCCAATCAAGGGATTAGCTGTTCGCTCATCCTGTCAAGGCTCAGTGAAAGCAGAGCCTTTGAGGCATTCAGAGTTACACATACCCGAAGAATTATTTCGCAGTCCCCAACTTCCTGTCACTGATACCTGGCCATTCTGACATTTCTGCAAATCCAAAAATAAAGAGCAGAGACGAGGAGGCCAGAGAAGTCAGAGGAAGTAGTGTCCTGGATGACTGTGTTTAAAATCTCTTGCCAATGGACGGAATCAGAGGGACTGAGAAGGCCAACTATTTCAACTCCTCACTGAGGGGAGCTGGCGTGCATGTGGGCAATGGGAACGTGGTGACAATGAGGCCACAGTCACTCCTTGGTTAGGCCAGAGTCTGTGCTGTTTATCTCCCCATCTATTAAATGGGTTCTGTTGGTAACAAAGGGACCAGTGAACGACTAGGGTGAATTCTTTACTGCCTATGGGCACCACAGCGGCAGTCATTGTCATCACCTCTGTAAGGCAAAGCGGCAGACATTTGATATTAATAGATATTCCAGGGCCTTCACAAGCTGCAAAGACTTCGCAAGGCTCTCTTTGCCAAAGAAGTCTGACTCTAATCATTGTAAGGAAGTAAAACTGTGGGTTGGTTTACATACCTACTTCTCCTCTTACAAAGTTTGGGAAATCAAATAGGGAGCAAGAGCTTCTGCAAATGTCAGCCCCAGATTTTGTTAGGGTTGTCTGTTGGCTACTTGTTTTCTCAAGGATTTCCCTTTCCAACTTTTAAAGAGGGAGCACACAAACCCTGCAAACACTGAGAGAAGGCTAAGGGCACACCAAGGAGATAAAAAAATCCTAGTTCCTCACTGCTTTGCAATAAAAAAATTAAGTACGTATGAGCTAAAGGTGTGTGTGGGGAAATTATAAGGAAAGATACTGTGAAGTTCTTGATAAGTTGAAAGATGAATAGATTGCATTATTATAAGTCAGCCTAGGGAAAAGAAATATCTTGACCACTGAGTGGGATGGAGAATCTGTTCATATGCATTTCTCAAGGGGACAATTAGTCTTCTTCCCTCCCTTCCCAGTTATTTGCAAGAATGAATTAAAACCATGATTGCCATTGGCTCTTGGGATTAGGCTTGGTTATCTAGTTGAGGGGAGGTTGTCTATTCTCTTTTACTGTATTCATTCAATTGGTAAGCTAATGCTGAGTGCTATTTTTTTTTCTGTGTAGAGGCAGACAGGGGGTGTCAGGAATCATGCTGTTTTGGGCAGCCAGAGTGTAGGTGTGTTGAGAGGATTTGGGGCTGAAGAGCCTGACGGCAGCCATGACTGTAACCTGCCCCCTAGAGGTTCCTGGGCAGGTCACCCTGTTCTGCGCTCAGCTTTCACTTTTGGCTGGTTGCTCAGAGGTGTTGGTTTTCCCCACTTCTCTCTTCTCCATGATGATTTCAGTTCTGGGTTCTGCTTCTGTGAAGAGCCACTTCCTTTGACAATTCTTTGCTCTCATAGGCTGTCTTCACTTACTGAAGACTTTGTAGGAACCATCTACATCAGAATTATCTCAGGGGCTTGTTAAAAATACAAATTCCCAGACCTTACCCAGACCAGCTGAATCAGAGTACAAATCAGGATGGGATTCCATCAGGGTGGAATTTGCATTCTGAGAGGCACAGGTGAGCTGTCTTTGAGTCATCCCCAGCACCTCCCCCCCAAATGCTGCTGTGTCTGGTGGTGTGAAGGGGAGGGGGTGTGCCGAAGCTGTGGGGCTCATGGCCCATAGGCCAGTGGGCTTCGGATCTCAACAGCAGGGGCTCCCAGCTCCACCACTCACCGGCTCAGACATGTCTCTCCACCTTTCTAAGCTAAAGTTCCTTCTTACAAAATGCGAAAAGATAATGACAATACCTACTGACAGGAAAACTCTGCCTGGTGTGCAGTAGGTACCCAAAAATATTAGCAAGTTATATCCTAGTCATTACAGGCAAGACTTAAGTTTTTGTGAAAATGTAATGATGGAAAGGCCAAGCTCCAGAAGCCCCGTGAGCACCAGGTATGACATACATGTGTGATTTGTAAGAGGAGAAGAACGCATGTTCCCAATGGGGGAAATGGCCTAGAAGGTGATCCAAAAACGAGATTGGCCTTTGAGCCAAGAAGTGGAGGGAGGAGGAGTCACTGGTGAGGGAGCTGGAAGAAACCTAGGGGAAGATGTCTCCACCAGCTGAGACCAAGGGGCTGGGGAGATAAACACGATCAGGGCACAGAGACCCCGAATTCACGGCTGGTCCAACAGCGCCATCCTCTCAGAACCTGACTGTGGGCCCAGCGATGCCTCTCTCTTCTGTTTTAGTAACAGAAAAAGAGCAGTGTATTAGGAGTCAGAAAATGAAGGCAAATTCCTTAGTCTGTCTGTTTCCTTATCTATGAAGTAGAGATAATACTACCCTTTAGTGTAGTCATAACAACCAAGAAAATAGCAGTAAATATGGAAAATTTTAAATCTTATAAATGTAAGGTATTACTATTATTAATCCTTTCCTTTTCTATGTTTCTGTTAGTCTTATTAAAAAACAAAACCTTTTCCTTAAACCTCCTGTTGCCTCAATATATCTGTCATTTCTTCTTCTTGAGTGTTCTCTCTTTTTTTAAATAACCTACATTGTCAAAGGAGGCACAGGTGAGGTTGGGTGAGGAGGCAGGTATCACATAGTCTGGGTCTGGAGGGACTCAAATGCATACGAAACTGGACAGCATCATTTCCCAGACAAGGACCCAGAGCAAAAAGTGCCTTCAGAATGAGGCACAGCATGAGTGTGCCAGTTCTGCCCCTTACTCGTCCCATGTCCTGAGTCCTCACCTGTAAAATGGGGACAGTGGGGACAAGACACCTGCTGGATTGCTGTGAGGGCTAGAATATGTAAAGGAGAGTACATAGTAGGAGCTCAATACATGATACTGTCTTTGTTGCACCTCCCTCCAAACACCAGCTTTATTTATGGCAGTGATGGATCCCTTTTCTTTCCCATCCTGCACCAACAGTTTGGGAAGCACCGTATACTTCATCTTCTTTGGGCCAGAAGCTGAGTTCATTGAAACAAAGTAACAGCACTGGGGGCTGAGGGAAGAAGAGAAAGGAGGAACCATTTCTCTGTGTGTGTGTGTGTGTGTGTGTGTGTGTGTGTGTGTGTGTGTATGGTAGAGGGAGGAAGAGACAGGCACAAGTAAACCAATCCCTTCAATCCAATTCAGACAGTGCACAGAGGGTTGTGGGAGCACCAAGACGGAGGACACAGCTCAGCCAGAGCAGTCAGCCAGGGAGATGCCCCTGGAGTGTGGGGAATGGGGCTGAGAAGAGGAGAGAAAACGGAAGAGAAGGAATTCTGAGAGCCACAGCAGCCAAACCAGCTTGGGGCCACATAGTCCTCCTTGGAGAACAGAGTTCCAACTCCTGAAGCTCATGTGAAAGTCTCCTGCTGACCTTGCCCCTTGGTTATTTCTTGGTGTTGTTTATCCAAAGGGTAAATCTGTCTTTTGAAAATGACCTGTCTTTTCTTGTGTTCATTAAAATTACAGGGGAGGGAATTTCCACTGTAGTCAAGGATGAGGGCTTGGTGTGATACAGATGTCCAGAGGCAAGATGCTTGGACACAAGTCAAGGCTGGAGGCAAAGAGTAGGGACCCAGAAGGGAACAATGGTGGATGAGAACCTCTCCGGCCCATCTGAGCTTCCTCTTCTATGCAGAAAGGCAATCCCTGGCCAACTCACCACGCCGATGGAGAAGTAGTTGTTCATGATGTCATACGGGACCTGGTCCCCATTCTCCACTTCTTCTCTGGGGATGACTTCCAGGTGCCAGCGGTCCAGCATCGCCAAGGGGCTCTGCTCGATCTCCTTCAGGATTTTCGTCAGGCTTCCTCCTTCGTAACCTGCAGAGCATAACATTGCATTTGCCTCAAAGCAGACAGCTAAGTTGTTGCTGATGTACAGGCCGCTGTCAGGGCAGGGAATCCCGTGGGCATCTGTGACCTGAAATCCCCTTAGTGTGTCTGTGGGCCAGAGACACTTAAGTTCCTGAGCCACAGAAAAGAAGAGGACAATATGGAGTAATTAGAAAGAAGCTGGGGAGATTTGAACACTGGAGTAGATGGGGTGGGGTGGGTGCAGGCTGGGCAGCGAAGGCATGACCTGGAGAATTGGTGGGCTGGGTGCTGCAAGCTGCATGTTGAAGAACAGAGGATCCATTTCCACACCATGTCGTGTTGCAGAGGAACAGGGTGGTAGGCAGAATTTTAAGATGACCCCCACGAGATTCCTGCCCCTGCTCCCCTCCCCCACCCTCTGGCCAGTGTATGCACCATTCAAACCCCCTGGGACCTGTGAATATAAGATGGGAGAGTCACTGTTCCAATTAGGTTTGTTAAATGAAACCACTGACTTTTTAGCAAAGGGAGCTTGATTGTCCTGTGTGGAGCTGACCTATCAGAAGAGTCCTCAGAATGGACTGGGCTTTTCCTTAAGAAATAGATTCCAAGCTTGAGAGGGATTTGACATGACGGAGATTCTCTGTTGCCAGCTTTGAAGATGGAAAGACCATCTGGCAAGTAATGAGGGAGGCCTCTAGCATTTGAGAGTGGTCCCAGCAGACAACCAGCAAGGAAACAGATCCCCGGTCCTACAACCATGAAGAACTGAATTCAGCTAACAACTTCGATGAGCTTAGAAGCAAATTCTTCCCCCAGAGCCTTCAGGGAGGAGCAGAGCCTGTCTAATGCCCTGATTTCAGTCAGCGAGGGCCTAAGCAGAGAACCCCGTCACCCTGCTCCAGGACTTCAGGCCTAATGGATTGTGAGCTAAAAATGAATGTTTTAAGCCTCTACATTATGATAATTTGTTATGTAGCAATAGAAAACTAACATAGAATGTGAATTGTAAGTGATAAGAGGTTAGTGGGAGAGTCTTTTCTTTCAAATAACACTTCTATTGTTTTTAATCCTCGCTGTAAGACATTTTTTCATTGCTTTTTTTTATAGAGAAAGGAAGAGGGAGAAAGAGAGAGAGAGAGAAGCATCGATTGGTTGCCTCCTGTGCATGCCCAGATCAGGGATCATATGTGCAGCCTAAGTATGTGCCCTGACTGGGAATTGAACCCCCAAACTTTCAGTTATGGGAGGACATTCCAACCACTAGAGCCACACTTCTGTGTTCTGCTTACATGTGGGGCAAACTTGAAGAGTATTTTCAAGTGGCCAGGGCTTTGCTCAGCTCTTTATGGGATGCCCCACAAGACAGCACTGGTAGCACGCATATAGTGGAGGGCCTGGAGATTATGTGGGAGCACAGGCTGGGTTTCCTGCATGAAATCTGTGCCTAGCTAGGCTGCCTAGATGCTCAGGGCCTGGGGCCACACTCTGCCTGGCCCTCTGAACAGAAGGTTCTTTTTTAGTCTCAGTGAGTGGCTGAGGACCCTGAAAACTCTTCCAGTGCCTGCCAAGTTCCTCCTAGGGCTGGCTTTCACTCACTGTGGCCCAAGCACACACCAATCTCTGACTGCTCACTGACCGCTGCCAGGCCTGGTCTTGAATCACTCTCTGAATTGCTCAGCCACCTTAAGTCCCACTCTGATCTGCCTGCCAGACTGATCTGTGTGCTGCTTGTGCTGATCTGAACTTCTCCGCCCTCTGGAATGTGCCCAGCTCCACGGGGCTGTTGCAGTTTGCAAAGGTCTCAACTTAGCTCCTGCCCATTGCCCTGTAAGGTTACTACTCTGAGTTCCCTCTTAGGGAATTTTCAAAATGAGGGCCCGTGGCTATGGGGAGCTAAGATGATCTGGATGCAGCTAACAGCCAGGGATGTGGCTTTTCAGTCTGAGTTCTGAGTCCTAATTTAGAAGATCGGTAATTTGGGAAGGGGAGATTTTATGCAGAAAACACCTAAGTGAGCCCCTCCTGGGATGGGTACTCGGGGGGCAGACAAAGGGACCTCTACCTCAAAGTGGACTTGGTCTACTAAGGAAGGAGGGAGTAAGCAGACAGTTCCAAGACAGTAATAATGTAAGGGGTAGGCATGGGCCTCGGCATGGAGTGCAGGGCAGGAAAATGCTCATGAAGTCGATCTGGCTCCAGAGTGGAGTTTGATTCTGTGGACTGTTATCCCTAAAAAGCTTAACTTTGGGGAGCATCCCTGCTGACTGGAAAGCTTATCCCAGGGCAGTGCCCCTCCCAGGCAGACTCACCTCCTCCCCAGCGGAGACACCTGGCCAGGTCATTTCCTGTTCCAAGAGGCAGGACAGCCACCGGTGGATGCTTGGCGAAGTTGGCCTTATCTGTAACCCATGCAGAGGAAGATGCCACAGGTTACAGAATGTTCATGTTATTTAGTTATCCCTCGCTTGATGCCTGAACCCCTCCATAGCGTTCCTTGTTTGAATACCTCCCATGATGGGGAGCACATCCTTTCCTAAAGTTTTTTCTTCCACCTGCAGCGTGTTGACTACTACAGTGGGTTTCCCCCGGCCTACTTAGCAAAATCGGTCTCCCTGTAACTTGCACCTCTTCATTCTAATTTCATCCTAATGTGTCCCTTTGGGATGATAGCACAGCTCAAAAACATTCGATTGCAGAGCTCTAATCCTTAATGATAACCAGCACTTATTACACTTATCCCTCAGACCAACCCTACTGGGTATTATCATTTTCCCCATAAATGAAGAAACTGAGGAACAGAGAAGGAAGGTAATGCCGGAGCCAGGATCCAAACGCAGTGCTCTCTACAGCTCCGGGGCCATGCCTGTCCTTTCTTCAAGGGCTTGGCAGGTGCATAGACAGTGACACAAGTGGGGTTTGAGACATCGGGGAGTGGCGAGGCATTTGAAAAACTGAAAACGTTACACCTAAAGTCACTCATGTTTGAAAGTTTAAACATAACATTGCATCTGACAGAAAACCTCCAGGTGTCATCTGGTACCCAGGGAGCAGTTTGCCACTTCCACCACCCCCTGGACTTGCAAATACACAGATTCCTAATCTTATTTCCCATGCTGGGGTGAAGCAGCCTCAGACTGCGTTAGAGAATGCACAGCAGACCATGTATGTTTCGATCTGGCTGAAGATCTACAGCAGCAGTTTGGCTGAGAAAGTTAAAGGAGGCACAGGCACCCAGGGCTCCAGGGGGCGCTATTTACATAACCCTCAGTTCACCTAGTGCTGGGGGACTGAGTGACTTTATGGGGGAGCAGTGGTGGAGGGACAGGGCAATGCAGGAATCAGCATCCTACATGAGGCTCATACTAGGGCTGCCCCAGCAAAATAGGAGTTCATAGGTCCCCCAGCTTGTCTGACTTATGCCAGCAGTGGCTGAGCTCAGTCAAGACCTTGGGCTGAGATGACTGCTGGGAGGGTTGAGATGGAGGATGGACAAAACAATAGACTCTCTCATCCTTCCCAGCACCTCTGGTCTGTGTTTATGCCTCCCTGCCCTTGCACATTCTGTTCCCTTTGCCAGGAAGGCCCTTGTTTCCTTCGGTCTGCTCTTTCTTCCAGAGCCTCCTTCTCAGCAGGTCAACCATCCTCACAGTGTGGAGGCTAGAAAGCTGGATGCCATCCTTGGTTTCCTTCTCCCTCACCCCACATCCATGTACTCATCAGTTTCTGCCTGCTTTCCACTCAGTAGATCTCCAAGCAATCTTTTCTACCTCCAAGGTGATGCCTGAGTTAGGTGTGATATGACCCCTTTCCACTGGTGTGGCTGCCAGTGCCTCCTCTCAGCCTCTGGTTCCACTGCCTTGTGTGTTCACCAAACTTCCACCAGGGTGGGCAGTCCTTGAACCACAAGCTCAATCATATCAGTCCACTGCTTTCACACTGTCGGGGCTCCCCTCACCCCCTAGCATGGCAACACCAGGCCCTTCCAGGCTCTGCCTTTCTCTCTAGCCTCACCCTTTACGCATCCTCCCTCCCAGCCAACATGCCAATGACATCTTAGTGTTTTCAGGGCCTTAAATCATAAGCTCTGCGTTGCTCAGCTCAGATGCTGCTTCTGAGAGGACACTCCACCTCCCGCCCCCACTGGCTGCCTTCATCTGCACCAGGTGCCTCTCCAGGATGGTTCTTTAGCACCAGGGAAGATCTCTTCACACTGCCTTGTAACTGACTACTCATTTGTTCGCTGAATGTGCTCTGACCTCCCCGGGGAACTGTACCTCATTCACCGCAGTATCTCCACACATACACAGATGCTGTGTTAGTTGCTGAGGCCCTAACAGCAAGTGAAAAGGCCATCACTTAGGCTCACATTGTACATGTAGCTGAAGGGGAGAGACAGATAGGAATGAAGTCTTCCCATAAATGAGGCATAATTTCAAATTCATACTGGAGAGGAAAGGAATGCAGTCCTATAACAAGGGGACAGAGGCTGAGGATATGTCAGGAAAGGCTTTCCCCATGAATCGACACTTTGGCTGAGACCTGAAGAAGCAGCTGACTGAGCACAGACCAGGGGAGGATCCCAGACAGGAGGAACAGCTTGTGCAAAAGTCCTGTGGTGGAAGGAACTGTACATTCAAGGGTTTGAGAGAGGGCCTGTGAGGCTTGAGTCTAGAGGGAGAAGAACGGAGGTATAAGGCTGGAAGGATGGGCAGCTGAGAGACCACCCAAGGCCCTGTTGGTCATCTGAAGAGTTTTTGTCTTTCCTTAAGAACAAGGGGAAGCTGCAGGTGTGTTACACACACACTGTGAACCCACGCTGGCTACAGAGGGAGAACAGATCAAGGATTGGGGTTGTAGAGAGCACTGCGTAATCGCTACAGTATTTCTTGAATGATGAGTGAATGAACACTGTGCAGTCAGGCCTCTTACCACTGTTCTTTCTCTCTGAGCCACTAAGCTGTGGAAGCAGATCATCTCACATGACCTTCTTTCTGTTTTGAGCAGCCTCAATCACCTGTGTCCTCTGCAGATGCACCTTCTAAAACTTTTCGTGAAAGCCTACTCTCTCCTTCATGATGGAGAGGGAACCATGCAAGCAGCTGTCAGTGCTGCAGCCATCCGCCCTCTGCTGATCAGCTTTTCCTTCCTCAGCTCCCAGGGGACGCCTCCCACAAACAGCTCAAGCCCAGGTGACAGGAGAGTGTGGGTGGCTGCTTGGCAGGGCTGTGTCCATGGAAACCAATGTGTGTGTAGGGGACGTGAAGGTGGCTGGGGTGCAGGTGCTGGTCCCACCCCTGGAGCAGCACCCCATAAGCCGACCAGGTGCTCTGCTTATGACCCCTGGAGGCTCAGCCTCCCCTGCCCTGTTCAGGGTCTATCATGGCCCATCCTTGACCCTGCTTTTGCCCTCATCTCCCACTCCAGTTTTTCAGCAAATTCTCTTGGTTCTACCTTCAAAAATACCCAAAATCTGACCACCTCTCACCACCTCCTCTGTTTCTGTTGTGTCCAAACCAGGGCCATCGCTCACTTGGATGACTGCAGGAGCCTCTGAACTTGTCTCCCTGCTTTGTCCTTCCCCTGAATCTGTTGTATCCCTACTTTGCTCAAAAATCATCCGGCACCTCGGGACTTTCCCAGTACAAAAGCCACATTCCGTGTAATGTTCTGCACTTGCTGGTGACCTGGCTGTGTAGTAGTTCTGTTGCATGCCCTGCTACTCCACCTTCCCGTGCTTGGCTCCTATGCAGTCTGCAGCCCAGCCTGCTCCTACCCCATGTCCTTTGTAGCTGCTGTTCCTTTTGTCTGAACTGCTGTCCCATCAGGTATTCTCATGGCCACCCTCCCTCCAGGTCCCTGTGCAAACGTCATCTGCTCTGCGAGGTCTTCCCTGACCACCAGGAATCATACTGCACCCCGGGCCCCCACAGCTGCGTCCCCTTTGCCCCTTCCCTGCTATATTTTTATTGCCTTCTGACATATGTTTCACTTATTTCTCTGCTTATTGCCTGTGTCTCCCCTGTAGAGGGAAAGCTTCATGAAGACAGGATTTTTGTCCATTTGCTTACTGCTGCATCTCCATTGCCTCGAGGAGAGCTTGGTACAGGGGGTGCACAGGCAAGTTTTGTGGAATGAATGACAGGAAGACAGAAGCAGCCCAGGGCTTGTTGCTCTGGGCCCAGTCTCTGACTTTGATGATGGCTCTCCCAGCTCTTCCCTTTCCTATCCTTGTTTCCACATCCCAGTGTTTACTTGGGTTCTCTGGGGTTAGATCTTAAATATACTCTCATCTCAGGATTTCAGAGTCAGTTTCTGTTATTTACTGGGAGTCAGTTATTTACTGTTATTTCCTGGGGGTCAGGTACCCAGGGAGCTGGACTAGAACCCATGCCCCTGAGTCCCAGCCTGGGCTTTCCCCCCTGCCCCTCTGACTGAGGGGTAGTGGGCACAGCCCAGTGTGGCCTTTCTTTGCTCCCACTGATCTGCGCTTTCTGGGTGTGTCTTCTGGGTGTGGGCTCCTGGTGGTCACCTCAAGGCGATTTGCTCTGGGATATGCATCTGTGCTTAGTGCTCTGGCCTTCATCCACCAGCCTGTACCTACTTGGGGTCTCAGCTCTGGCCATCCCCCGACCACCTAATCCTGTCTATTCTGCCACTGACAAAACCCCAGCCACCACAGATGCTTTTTCAGCAAGGCCAGAAACAAACTGTTACATCTGTACCTGTGGGAGACTTTCCGCTGGCCTGTTTCTTTGTTTTTCCACCCAAAGTAGGTATTTAGTCAAGCATCGGTCCAAGAGTGGAAACAAGGTTGACCGAGACTTGGCTACATTTCTCTTTCTTTTGTATTGCTGTCCTGGGACTTTAAATGTACTTACTGTAAGTAAACTGCAAAGGCCCCTCCAGCCCATTCTTACCAATGCAATCCAAAATCCAGCCGACGGTCCCATCTCCTCCGCAGGCCAGGACTCGGAAGTCTGGGGTGTCACGGAAAAAGTTCAGTCTGGCAAGTAAAAGAAAGAAATGGTCTTGTTGACTAGGCTGTGGCTGACCTTTGACACTGCTTGAGTGAGAGCCCCCCTACCTCCTTTCCTGGGAGTATGTTATGACCTTGATTCCTTTTGGGGTTGAAAGGGTCACTTGATGTTCTGAAACCAGAACTTACTAAGCAATGCCATTGAGTCTGAATCTCAGGGGCCATCCTTGTATAAGGAGAATCTGGGGTCAACACAGAACTTTGTTTTTCCTAGAAATTCTCTATTATTTGTGCAAAGGAATCCATAGTTTGCTTACTTTGGCAACCATACAACTAACCCACTACATTTTGACTTCCCTCCGGCTCTCCTGCCTGCACTGTCTCCACAACCTCCCATTTAAATCCGATGCACTGAACGACTAGGTCTTTATCCCGCTCTCCTGTGCGTCCAGACCAAAGTGGAGTGAGTACCATCCCCTCCCCTCCCCGCCCCCGCCACGGGGGCCTTAACCTTCTCAGGGACTGTCTGTGGATAGAATCCAGAACCATAAACTTGGAGGAGATAATATTACATTCTTTTCTTCCCTAAGCTCTAACGGACATTTAGCGTTTTCTTCAATTGTGAGATGTAGGCAGCAAATACAGACATATTAACAATACCTGTGACTTTGTGAGGAGTTGAAATCACAAGTATTTTAATGTTTTACTACAGATATGGAACATATTTCATGCTATTATTTATGCTCATCACTGCTTTTAATTTACAATAGTTACTAGACTTGCCTGTGGAATTTGCTACATAGAATATGTTAGGAAATCACATATATTTTCATACTGCAAATTTCTTTTCTTAACATTCTGATAACTGTTTTGAATATAATTAGTTTCCCTGGTAATCCTATGTATTTCCTTTTATGTTTTGAGAAATTGGTCTGAGAAAGGGACCTCAGGCTCCATCAGACTGCCTACGGTTCCTGGCACGGAAGGGATGAGAACCTCTGCTTTAGCGCAAACATGACTCATGGACTCCCTGGGGTGGGTTCTGGGAAACTGAAGCTCAGTATCTCCTCTTTGCCCACCCTAGTGGTCTGAGAAGACCCCTGGGGCTTTGTGAGTCATTGATGCAGGTGCAGGCAAATTCCAATCCCCTCCCTTCCCCTTCATTCCCTGCCGTCCTATAGAAAGTGGATTCTGAATGGAGGCTCCAATCACCTAGACAGCCTGCCTGATTACACACTGACCTCAGAGATACTCAGCACAGTAGCCCTAGAGATTGTCACCAGGCTTGTCACCCAGGGCAAAAACAATTTAGGAACAATGAGTTAAGCGACAGCATTGCATTCAAGTCTTAAAATGCCCCCAAAGAGAATGGGCTGGGAAAGGCATCCATGGGCTGCTGCTCAGCCGCATGTCATAAGGGAGAAGTAGCTGGCAGTCACGGTCGCACCTGTGGCAGTGTGGGTGGGCTCTGCTTTCACATTAGCGTTAAATCGTGGCAGAGGTGCTGACTCTGCACTCAGGTTTCTTTCTTCTTTTGACTGGGCCTTGCACTGCCACTTCCATACATGACAACTTTGTGTCAAAAAACTGAAGACAGAGACAGATTCCTTGTTTGGAGTCCCTCCTCCAGCCTTTCTGTGGGGCTTGCAGAACCCCATGTGGAAGAGCAGGTTAGGAGGTTGGGCAAAGTGGCTGTGTGTTAAAAAGCCCAGCCTGTGTGCACAGATCGGAGGACCTGGACCTTACACAGCCTCTGGCCAGCACGTGGTTCTAATGCAGCATCTCTGTCTGCTCAGAACAGTCTTTGGGTGCCTTCCAGGCCCGAGGTTGGAGCAGACTGATTACAGGGAGCCACAGCTCACCATGTTAGTGCCAACACAAAGATCTGTTCCTTCCGCCAGACCTTCAGCCCAGTCGCAAAGGGGCTGCCTGGTCTCCTTTCCTTGCTCTCCCTCTCTAATGAGCAGTGAAAGAGCCAATAGGCAACTGAGTGGAGAAGGGCCACAGGGAGCTTAACAATCTTTAAAACGGACAATCCAGGGAAGAAGTGATTTCATTGGATAAGTAATTGTTTTGATCCTAAAATGACCCACAGCAGAGCATGCAGCAGTGTTCTGACACTGACTGAGAGTGATAGGAAATTCTTTCCTCTCTGATGACTCAGTATCAGATACCAGCTAACATGGCCTTGCAAATAAGTTAAAATAATTTACCAGCCTGCCCTTCCTGTCAATCAAATGAATGGCATATGCAGGAGGCTACTCCCTGGAGTCAAATATGATGAGAGGGCCCGAGCATCTCCAAAGGAAGTAAGAGCAGATACAAGGAAAAGAAGAGAAAACGAGTAAAACACCAGGAAGGGCAAGTCCACAAATGAAAAACAGACAAAGAAAGGTGACAAAAAAGGGATTCTTCCAAGGCCAAAGGGGAGGGGGAGAAATAAGGAGTAAGGATTGTTCTCCATACCCTGGAGTAGGCCCCCCATTGTCCAGGTTGAAAACTTGTTTGGGGTTGAGCAGATAGTGGAATTTCCGAAGAATTCTATGGGGAAAAAAAAGAAAGAGAGAGAGGAGAGGCAGAGAAGGAGAACATCATTATGAGAAGTCACAGTGGGGCAAATAACTGTGGAGCCCATTGATGGTGGGAATGAAGGTCCATTTAAACCCCACTGGGGAGAAGACTGAAGGCAGGCCCTGCAGACCCTAAAGTCCCAGCGTCAGGTGCATCACTTACACCCTAATTCCCTGGTTCAAGGCCTTCCTGCTCTCCAAGACTCCAGCTCCCAATCCCAGAGGTATCGTCCCTTGCAGAAAAAACGGGGCAGAGAAACTCAGAGAACAGAACTTCCATTCTCCTAAAGCTTCTTCCTTCATGGACACCTTCTCCCAAATGTTCTGTATGTTCCAGGTTGTACAGTTCTGCTCTTCGTGGACTATATAAAGGCATCCAAGGACCCTCGATGGAAAGGTCACCCAAATCTCTGAATCAGGAGGAATCACAGGAGGTGGGGCTGGGGCAATGACCCCGTTGAGGCTTGGTTTCAAGGCTCCAGCTTGAGCTCGTCAGATCAGTTCAGAAGGGGCGCTCCGCCCTTTGGAGTGGGGTAGGGGTTCTCAGAGTTGTTGCTTCAACCCTACGTATTATTATTTTTAAGCTGGATTCAAGGTCACATGCCGTCTGTACATTACCCAGAGCTGAACAAGACTTGGAGGCAGAGCTGCTTTGCCCCTTCTCCCTCTCTCTTCCTACTGTCTCAGTGCTGCCAACAGACTGGGCATTTCCTTCACTGATGAGGTGACTACCCTGCTTTCTCAGGGGCTGGATAGGTCAGGAAGTTCCAAATGGTAAGTTGTGCCACATCTCTTACTCAAGAGAACACTTGAGAGATTAGGAAGGAAACAGGCGTGTCAGAGCTGACTCTGGGAGCCATAATAATGGCGCCTGTGACAGGCCCCAGGCTAAGCACTGTGTCTATTTCAGTCCTCACGACAACCCTAAGAGAGGATAAATGATCATTTATTTATAGAGGAGGAAACCAAGGCACTTGAACCAGATCATTAAGATGTAAGTAGTAGGGCTGGGATTTGAACCCAGGTCTGCTTGTCTCCACAGTCTGCTCTGGTGTGGTTAAAGGGAAGAAAGGACCCAGCTGAGGCAGTTTCAGCCTCTTCATTTTGAAAAAGAAGACAACATACCTTTCTCCTTGTCTCCCTCCACTCTTGGGGTTCACCAAGACCAACAGGGGGTGGGTACCCGGAGTGGGGATGATCTTATACTTAAAAAGGTAAAAGAAAAGGAAATTAGCTCTGTTTCAGCCAACAGGGAAACAAGATGAGAGTTTACACTAAGATAGCATCTGGGAGAGGCGGATAGAAAACGGTTACAAGCATGGAGGAGAGGAGGGTGGGAGGTAGATCTTTGTCTGCTGGCTGAACTTTTGAGGGGGTCAGTAGCTAGGTGTCTCAGTTTGTTGGTCTTTAAGTAGTGTGAATGGTGACAGGGTTTGAGGTCAAAATCAGAGAGGGGACGATGGCATCATAGCTTCAAAATAGTCAACAATGGTGAGGCATTGCGCCCACAGTACGAGATTCGGTTTTGTGAGAAATACAACTGAATGTGACCTTTGGTGGTACGGCCATCTGGTCAAACACTGAAATAAAATAACACTCGTGAAGTTAACTCTGAATTCCACCCAGCGTCGATTTTCCTTCTAGGAAAGTTCCACATTTCTCACTGTCCAGTGGGTCCCTTCCACTAGATGTCTCTCTATTAGGTCGCTCCAAACGTCAACATGTCTCGAACCTCACCTACCTTCTTTCATCATAAAACTGGTTGTCTCTCCTGGCTTCCTGGTCCAGTTTAAGTGCAGCACTATTATTCATCCAGTCACCCAGGGAAAGAAGCCCTGTTCTGCCAAATTCTTTCCCTGGAATGTCCCTTGCTCTCCGGCAGCTGTATTTCTCTCCGGCATCCTGTTACAGTATGCCACAGTAACCACACTGCTCGGGCACTTCCCAGCTCAGGTAGGTGCTGTAGGCTGTCCCCCAGGTAGTTCCTTCCCATGACATCACATTAGTTATGCCGCCCTTGCTAGAAACCTTTAATAACACCTCATTGTTCAGAGGATAAAATCCAAATCTCCTAACCTGTCATCCAAGCATCTCAGCGTAGCCCCATTCGACTGTTACCTCTCAATGACTCTAACCCTCACTGAGGTTCCAGCTAAGCCCGGCTCTTAGCCTCCAGTGAATGTGTCTCCTGCATTCCGCCCCCCGCCCCGTGGGTTGGCTCACACTGATTTCTTCTCCTGCTCAGTGCCTGGAAATACCCCCTTCCTTCTTTACAACATTTAAAAAAATTTGTCAGCCGCAGGGCCCAGTTCGAGAGTTACATCCTCTGTGAAGTTTTCCTCAATTACTGCAACTAATACTACTGCACTTGAAACACATAATACCTTCTGGATTTCTTTTGTGGTGACTTACTTGTTTTTTGTTTTCTTTAAAAATTCTATTTATTTATTTTTAGAGAGGGGGAAAGGAGGGAGAAAGAGAGGGAGGAACATTAATGTGTGATTGCCTCTCGATTGCCCCTACTGGGAACCTAGCCTGCAATCCAGGCACGAGCCCTGATTGGGAAGTGAACCAGCAACCCTTTAGTTCATAGGCCAGCACTCAGTCTACTGAGCCAAATCAGCCTGTGCTGTGTTTTATTTTCTTAGATAAATGTCTCAAAACGTGAACTGGATCTTAAATGTCTCAAAAGCCAGGTGTGTGTGTGTGTGTGTGTGTGTATAACTCTTCTACCAAGGGTCCCACAACACCAGACACTGGAGTAGGTATTCAGTAAACACTTGTGGGTTTAGCTGAAGGAAAGTGATACAGAGACATAATTCTGCTCCATGTTCATGATCTAATGCTCACTTATCCAGTGCCCATCCCCCTCTCCATTGTGAAAATTAAAACGTAAGTAACAATGATGGGTAACCTTAATAATGTGAGAAAGCTGTAGATACCTGGAGGGCCAGAGAGTCGGGTGGAGCGGACCCATGCACACTCCCACCATGAAGGCCCAGCAGCTGTTCACAGCTGGCATCTGATTGGTTATCCTGCATCTGTCCTGACTGGGCAGTGCCCATGCTGTGCAGGTTGTTAAATATTTTTGAGTAACACCCCCAAAAGTAAAAATTACTCTTCAGGTTCCAAGGTGCCTCTGGATGTCACACAGACAGTCACCCCGGAGCAGATTAGAACATTCCTAAAAGTCGTAAAGAATGGCGCTGTCTTTCCTGCAGTCCCTGGAACTTTGTGGAAGGCACAAAGAGAAGATACTGATTGGTGAACCCAAGTAAAAAATGAATTGTTAACTATACATGTAAGGATGAAGAAGAACTTTTGGGTACGTTAGCTTCGTTTTGGCCAATTGCATTCTAGAGATAGCATGGCAGTCTTGGAAAGTCCACTAAGTATTTTTAGGCCACCCTCTTGTTATTATTTAGGTGGTGAGCCTACTGACATTTTAAAAGCAAATCATTCCTAAAAAGGTGATAAAGGTCAATTTGACCAGCCCTGGGATCTACCAACCTCCCTTTCCGCCACTTGCCTACAGTACGTGGTCCAAGGTCATTCCGGGGGCTGCCAATAAAGTGTCTCGTGTGATATAATTGATCAGACGAGAAAGCAAATGCTGAGATGTGTTTCCCAAACCCTGTCTTCCTCTCCAGAGCTTGGACCGACGCAGAGTGAATGCTCAGACCCGAGCCTGCTGACTTACCTGCACTGCAAGTTCACCCTTGGCCAACGCGCTGCCATCAGACTTCCCACCTGGCCTGTCCTGTGAGGAAAGAGGAGAGATAAGCATCTTTTTGGGGGAAAAAGGGGTCAGAAGAAAAACAAATGGTTAATAAGAAGAAAGAATTAGAAAAGCAGTACAGAATGGGAAGGAGTTTTTCAAAGTGGGGCTTTGGACCTAAGAAATGTTGGCCTACTGGTTTCCCTAGGACTCTCCAGGCCTCTGTCGTCATTTGCTCTGACGTTAACTTTGAGACGCTGGAGCGAATACGGGGAAAGGAAACACTGACACGAACAGAAATCTGTTGTTGACTTAGAAGCTTGCACTCTGAGAAGTAAGGTCTTAAATCCAGCTTCTCTGCTCAGTACTAGCTGAATGGAATGATACTGAGAAAGTTACTTGTCTTAGTTTTGTTTGTCCTCTTTTCTTTGTTTTAAAATATGCCTATTATTTATTTTGTGGAGTTTTATTTTACATATAGTAAAATGCTCAAATCTAAATCTACAGTTTAATACATTTCTGCTTACTTGTATGCCTTTGTGACTACTGCCACAGGTCATTCTGTTGTTACTCCTGACGCCCTCCTGCTTTTGCCTGGCTTTCGAATTTCATATAAATGAAATCATAGAATATGTCTTTTTTCTTTTTGGAGTGTAGTTTTTTTCAGGATTATGTCTTTTTGATTTCCCCCTTTTTTCCATCTAAACAAAGTTTCCCTCCCCCCCATATAGTATTCCATGGTATGAACAGGCCTCAGTTTATTTTCTATTCTCCTGCCAGTGGTCATTAAGCTCATTTCCAGTTTATCACTGTTATAGTAAAGTTGCTGTGAACATTCTTATGCATGTATTTTGGTGGAATAAATGCTCATATTTCTCAGGTAGATACATAGGAGGGACTTCCTGGACCGTGGAGTTTTGCATTTCCAACTCAGTAGGTACAGCCTAATGGTTTTCCCAAGTGATTTTTCTTTAGTTTTTAAAGAGAACAGAGTAGCTGGTCAAGTCAGGGATGAAATGAAATGTGAGGAGTCAGTGGAACTTGGCAACACCCTTAAGAGGGAAGGGAACAGTTAAGGTGTTTGGTGCTAGTTTGAAAGAGGACGTGTCAGCACAGGAGACAGAGATGATTTCTGATGCACATGAAGTGAGTTGAGGGCTGAGACACTCAAGTAGAAATTGTCAGGGCAGATGTTTGGACAGAGAAGAGAGGCTGACACGAGGTTGACAGGGACAGGGAGGCCTGGGAGGCCTGGCCTACGCAGGTGGGGACTGCAGTTCCCTGAGCCGTGCTCTGCCCGCAAGGGGCTGAGACCAAATGAGCTTTCCTTGATGGGCCATTTCAGAGCATTCTGGGTGACCCGCAGTGGGAACCATCGCAATCAGGGGAGTTTTCCCTCACAATCTGGTGGGTGCAGCACTGACCTCATTTGAACCTGTGCTGAAGACACAGACCCTAAGAGCTGTGGATGAAGCCGTTTGGAGGGTGTGAGCATCCGGCTGCTGCCTGCGTCTGGAACATGCAGGGTGATGGGGGGGACCACAGCCCCAGGGGGTGGCGGCACTTACCCGGGTGATGGGGCATATCGAGGTGGGCAGCAGGATGTGGTCTTTGAGTTCCCCACCATCACACACTGTGGATAATTCACATTTGCGGTGAAACTGGAGGAAACAATGAAGATGAGTGTGAGTGAAAGTGACCAAAGAAACATCAAATAGGAGGTTTCAAAGGTTTACTGAGGAGGCAAGCTGTCTAGTGCTCCCCAAATCCTGATGGGCTGCTGGCTTTGGCAGTATAGCTGAGTGTGTGTATGTGGTGTATGTGTGTGGTGTGTGTTATGTGTGGCATGGGTGCCTGTATGGCTGTTGTGTGTAGTTAGGGCTGCCAAGTCTGCCGTGGGCAGATGAAGGGGACCAAGTGCTACCCATGGCTGCTGGAGTGAAGTGGCCACGAGCAGGCCTGTCCATGGCGCTTCAGTGTGGCACCCCCTGTGGATTCCAGAGCTCCCCCGGGTGTTTGCTCCCTGAGAGCTGAGACACTGGAAAGATGAAGATCTTGTTGAACAAATTCATAAGAGGCTGGAAGCAAATCCCTTGACTTAACCTCTGCATCTGAAGAGTCTACAGTTTAATTTGGAGCCATGTCCTTTCTGAGGCTGATCAAGGGCCTTGGTCTAGGGAACAAGACACGGCACTGAGTTTGCTGTGGCAAGGAGGTTGGGTGGGTTCCAGATGTCTAGAGATGAAGTGGACATTTGATGTTGCTGGCGGCAGCAGGCCCAGGCCCCTGGCCCAGGCAGTGGGGCCGCCATAAGGAGTGTGCCTTCCTCTGGAGCCTGGAGGAACAGGATTCTAGTGTCTAATTCCTCTCCAACTCTGGTAGAGCTGCTGGCCTCAGATGACACCCAGGAGAAAAAAGTTAATGGTCCAGCCTGTTCACCACTGACTGGCCACACAGACAGTGGATTGGCCAGCTTCTTAAGCAGCCCTTGCTGCCCTGGTTCTGGGGGTGTCCCATTTCTGGGCAGCTTGGTGATTCACTGGAGGCACAATCAGACTTAGGGCATTGAATGGGGTTCTGGGCACCCCCAGGCTTCCCTTGTCTGTGCTCAGGCCTTTGGCAGGATGTCCACTGCTCCCTGGCTGCAGCTTGAGCAAAAAACCACACTGAACAGAAGCAGGTCTGCCCTGGGCGCCAACCCACCGTCTTCCGGCACCACACGCAGTGCCACGCGGTGACACTCTGGTAGCACTTGATACTTTTGTGGCACCGGTCACACTTGACGGAGGAGTTCCCTTCCACCCACGCGTGCTGCATCACCTGCAGGAGGGAAGGGAAGGACACCAGGGAAGGCTGCAGAACCATGCCCCTGGGGCCCTGGGCTGGAGGAGAAGAGTCAGGGAGGCGCGCAGGGTGGAGGAGTGGGGACGGAGGGGTGGTTTCCTGCTCAGTTTTTGCTCATGTAGGATGCTGGGCTGCTTTGCTGCACTGCACTGCTGTGGTCTCTCCCTGCCTAACCACCATTTTGTTCATTGAGGTAGATGAAAAACCACTTTTCCTGTGCTTTGAATAGCTCATTCCCCTGGTAGTCAAGCCTCTGAGCAGCATTTGGTCTGGCAGTGCATCTGTCTGTCTTGCAGAACTCCTTGCAGGGTGATGTGCTCATGTGCTCCCTCTTCTGGAAGGCAGCCTGATGCCGGGGAAACAGGAGGTGGGCTTGGGCAGCTGACAAAACTGGTTGGAGTCATTGATCTTCCCTTTAGCAGCAGGATGAGCTTTCGCCAGTTCCGGGACCTCTCTGAGTCTCAGTTCCCTTCTCTATAGAAATGGTACAGTAAGCCCCACTTCTGTGTTTGTATGGGGGATTAAATGAGATCGTGCCCTTGGAAGAGCCTTCCTGGCACAGTTCTGCCCTTTGAAGGTGCCCACGGATGGGTAACTTCCTTCCCCTTCCCTTCTCCTAAGGGCCACTGGCTGTCAGTCTTAGCAGACCATCAGAATCACCTGGGGAGCTCCTAGAAGTTCCAAATCCCAGCACTCACTCCAGACCAAATAAATTAGAGTCTTTGGGGGATGGGAACTGCCATTAGTATGTTTTAAAGCACCCTGGGTGATTAGAATGGACAGCCAAGGTTGAGAAGCTCTTTAGAAGGAAGTTAGAGGAAAAGTCCAAAGATATTAGTGTGGGTTACTGGCTGGTGTCTTTTACATCAGTTTCCTGGAAAGCTGGCTATACTTCCTCCCTGGCCAGGAAATGCCACCAGGGCAGCCCAGGGACCTGGAAACCATGGGGATGCGTGTGTATGTGTGTGTGTGTGTTAGTGCAAAGTGACCCATGACACCAAATTCTGGGAGCCTGAGCCCTCGGGTGTCTCCCCTCTGAATTCTACAGAACATCTCAAAACTTTGCAGCAGGGCACCCTGGATCGCCGAAGGAAGAGCATGGACTCGGGGGGGAGTGGGGGGAGGGGGCCTAGTCTGAAGGGACAACCACAAGCACAATATTAAAACCACATGGAATATCTGCATTATGCCATCCATGTTTTTATTAAATAAAAGTTTCAAGTCACTTATCAGTTAAGTTACTACCCCTTCTCCCAAAAGGTTTTTGGTAAAATGCTTGTTCTAGAAGATGTGTCACTTTTATTTTGTAGCCTCTCACCTTCTGCCATTCACCCTTGAGGGTGTAAAGAATCCAGTTTGCTAATCAATGTGTCCTCTACATGGTCACATTGAATTTATTCCAAGGTTATTATTATTTCTATTGCATGGAGAATAAAATGAGGCTTCAGAGAGCTTAACTGACCGGCCCTAAGTTCCAAGGCTGATAAGTGGTCAAGCAGAGCTTCATAGCCAGACCTTCTGACTCCAAGTCCATGGCTGCGTCCCAACACCACATTGCCTTCTCCATTCTCTTCTGGGATTGGAGGAGGTGGTGAAGGACTTGAGTTGCCCCTGGAGACTCAGGTGATAGTGCCCTGCTGACCCCTCAGTGGCTTCCCTCTGTTCTGCGTGGCAAGTGGCCAGCATGCAGGCCGAGGGCCTGAGCCCAGGAAGTGCACCGTGTGTCGCGGTGAAGGCATGGACATGGAAAGCTGTGGGCATGAGGGTGGTACAGAAGTAGACAGGAGGCCATGCGGTGTCTCATGGGGCATGCACGTGTTTCCTCGCAGGTGCCCTTCTCTCATGGAGTCCTTTTGGGGACGGCTGGACATCGCTCCCACCTGCTAAGCATCTCCTGACTCCAATCCCTCATTGGAATCTTCCACGCAGGAAGCAGTGTCCTTCCCCTGCTGGTTTTGAGAAGAGGCTATTTCTAGACTTGGTGAATGGCATCACCTAATGGCCAAGTTAGAAACCTAGGAGCCATTCCTGACCTCTTCCCTTCTCTCATCGTCTACATCTCTATCACTAAGTCCTGGTGATAGTACCTCCCAAAGATCTCTCCAGCTCTCCCTGCATCTCCTCCACCTTAACCAGTGCCACAGTCAAAATACTCAACAACTGGCACGGCTGGGAGACACTTGACACAGACGCAGCCACCACCTTGCTGCCGAAAACCTGTCAGCATAGCCTGTGGGTGCGAACCCCACCCTGGTTGGGCCCTCGGGGCAGCATGCCTCCTGCTCAAACTGTGGGAAGGTTTTTTCTCCTTGGACCCCTCTCCTGCACCATGGTCAGAGCAATGAACCTAATACGCAAACCCAACATCTCGCGTGCCCAAAGCTCTTCAATGTCCCCTTAGATGCCCAGGAAACTCCTTCCCAACTCTTCAGCTGACCTCACATAACCTTCCCAGGCTAGTTCTCATCTTCAGAGCACAGCTCCTGCCACTTCCCTTTAAGTGTTCTCTGCCCCAGTCACAGCACACTAAGTACAGATCCCAGAATGAGCCACATCTCCCCCATGCCTTTGCATTTGGGGCTTCTGCCTGGGTGCCTTGCCTGCTTCGATCCCTTGTGAAGTCTTCCTGATTTGGGTTCAAGATACAACTCAAATGCCACCTGCTTTGTGAAACCTTCCCTGGCCTCCTCCTTGGTATGCCCACTGTACGTCCCACACAATTGCTATTGTCCATCTTACTACTTTGTGCTTTGATTCTGTGCCTGCTTCTCGCCCACTAGATTGCACAGTTCTCCAACAGGCTGAAGACCATCTAATAACCTGCATGCCCCCTAGCACTGCCTGGCACGTGGTGAGTACCAGGCAGATGCTGAATGGATTGATGGATGAACTAGATGGCTTAAGAGTGGTCCTCGAGGCAGAGAAGGGGCTGGATAAAGCTCCCAAAGCCCCTTCCTGCCCAGGATTCTGGTGATGGACATGTTGCCGGGGACACAGCATGCAGAAGAACAAGGCAGTAGGTGTCACCAACCTCGCCGCCCCTTTTGGCTTTTGAGTACGTTTTGACACACCCAGGAATGTTTTTGGACACACAGCGTTCGTGGACAGTATATTTACAGTCTGAAAAACAAAAGTAAAGAAAGAGCTTGTGAATGACCACATAGGAAAAGTCCAGCTGGCCCCCCACACTCCAGCTGAGGCCGGTGCCTGACCCGGGTGACCAGTCAGGGGCAGGGGACATCTGGAACTGGCCTTGAGGAACAGAAGTTCAAAACAGTCTTTGGTTGTTCATTGAGCAGAGAGTTCACGGTTACCTGCTAAACATACTCCTGCACTCTGCACCCTGCCACACTGCCTTCCACTGCTGGCAGTGAACTTGGCAAGACACCGTCCGCTGCTGGAAGGTCTTTCCACGTAAGGGCAGCATGAGGAGTGGTCCTCTTCGTTCGGCCAGCGCCTCAGTATTGTGCATCTGGGGTACTGGTGGTGGGCCCGGGCCTGAACGCTGGTTCTGCCATTTGTAACCACCCTCTTAATTCTGGGTAAATTGTTCTATATCTATGAAATTTAGGGTTTTCTACAAAATGGGAATAAAATCACCTCTCTTTCTCTTTGCAGATGTTTTGCAGCATTAAATGAGATAATTTGTATAAAACACTGCTTGCAGGGTCCGATTAGCTGTTCCCCAAATTATTATTGCTATCGTTGGTGTTACTGCCACCAATGACTGTGCAATCAGCAGGGGCCCCCAGACCTGGAGCTCTCCCGTTAGGAAAAGAGACTGGTCTGTAAGAAGTGGTGCAAGCTGGATTTGCAAGGTGCAGGGGAACACCGGCAGCCCCCTTCCTTAGCCTGCTGACGCCCTCGGTGGACACTGGGCCCATCTCTGCTAAGACGACTTTTGTGGCCGAGGTCGCCTGCTGCCTAGCTCACGCGTGTGTGTTTAGATGAAAAGGTACAGTAACGTGGGCCGCACGCGACCGTCCTCCCCGCAGCAACAGCTCCCCAGTCTCTGGTGGGCTCAGACCTGTCTGTCTGGGGGGTGACTGGCAGGACTCTGCACCCAAAAGCCTTCTCTCCGCAATCCCTGCCCCCTCTTCCTCCTCAAATCCACCCTCTTTCTTACTTCACCCCTGCTGTCTTCCTTCTCCATTGCTTTGTCTCCTTTCCAGTCTCTTGCCCACTTTTTCCTTCTGTGGTTTTTTCTCTTCTCCCACTTGACTTTACTAAACGGATTATAAAGTGAAACCAATGGATGGCTTCAATTTCCACTGCATTTACACATATATATTTTATATTACTTATTAATAAAAAGCCACCTAGGTTCCTCTGACCACCCAAAATATTCACTAGCAAAACCCAACTGAAATTAGTGTGAGATACTTTTTCATTATGTGTGAGCCTCAGTTACTTTTTTTCTAGGGCCGAGGGTCTATGGCCCAGAACAACGTGGGGGGGCCCTCAAGCTAGGAAGCAGAAATACCCGGACTGTTTCTGGAGTGGCTCCACCACGTGCAGAGCAAGGTAGTTCTGGGGAAAAGCAGCCTGAAGGCCGTTACTCACACGAGCAGCACAGGCCTTGCTTCCGAACGCCCATCAGCATGACGTGGCAGAAGTTGCAGTAAGTTGGTTTCTTGAAATGCTTCATGGTCCAGGCGTGCCTGCCATCCCCCTTGAAGCCCTGGAGGGACAGCAAGGGGATGAATGGGGTGCGGAGCAGGCAGCCCCAGCCAGCAGAAGCCGGGGCTGCCTCCTGTTATGTTTTCTTGGGAGACTTTCTTTTTATATCTGGAAGACAAGACAGGCATTTATTTTACTGGTGTAAGGACTCTTAAAGAAATGGAAATTACCAGAGGAAACTGGGGGGGTGGAAGGAGGCAGGAGAGGGTAAAGGGGGGATAAATGGTGGTGGAAGGAGATGTAACCTGAGGCGGTGAATACGCAGGGCCATATACAGATGACGTGTTGTAGAACTGCACACTTGCAGCCTATATAATTTTATTAACCAATGTAAACCCAATAAGTTCAATAAAAATTTAAAAGATGGAAATCAAACAAAGTTCTTTGTGTGTGCTTGTATTTTCTAAAATTAGCAAGCGTTAAAAATTGAGAATATTTGAGTAGGAATATGTGGGGAGGATAAAATAAGCCTTTCCTTACATGGCTGGTGGAAGCACAAATCAGAACAGACTTTCTGTGTATGTACATATGCATGTGTGATCCTTTGAAAGTTTATAGCGTTTGACACACAAATTTCCTTTCCTGGATTCCACCCTAAAAATAAATTTTGAAATTAAGGTGAGCATTTTTGTGCTCTGTCAGTTGTTTAACTTAACATTATTCATTTCAAATAATGCAAAACTGGAAATATCCTAAAGGTCTCAAAATTACCAAGTGTTCAGTTGTGGTACAGCCATATGATTTAATGTGAAGGGACCATCAGAAAGATATTTATAAGAAAGTATAATGGCCTGGGAATGCACTCATGATTCAGTGCTGAGTGAAAAAAGCAGAACGCACATCTGCGGATCGATTATAATTTCAGCTTTATATAATAAGATCTTTGATGCCAAGAAATGTCACCAAACTGTTAACAGAGGTTAGCTATGGCTGGAAGCACTGTGAATTTATTTTATTCTCTAATTTCTATTTTTTGTACTTTCAAATTTTTTACGGTCAGCTAGGACTCTCTCATCAACTTTCTGCACACAGATAAAATAGTAAAGAGACAGAGAGTGGGTGAAGACATTTCTTCCTGACTGCGCTCAGAAGCAGATTCGCCCTCACTCACTAGGTAAGCCAGGCATCCCACCATCACACGCCTTCCCTGGACACCAGGGCCCCTGCCGTCCAGCCCCTGAGAGCGCAGCCTTACTGAAGGCTGTGTCTTCGGAGACACCCCTCCATGCCCGCTGCCCTTGAACCTTTCTTATGGGCTCCATCAAAGCAGCACCACTGTTGGGCTGGTCCTTAGGGCTGTAAAAACTACGCTTGTGAGCTGGTGAGAACTGACAGATACACAGAATCCAGCGTGCCGGACTCAAACCCAGTTCTCGTGTTCTCACACCGGTCACAGCCACAGACCTCAGAGGAGCCCATATGCTTGTCCAAAAGCGGGCAACCCCCTGGTGTCCTTTCTCCTCACCACCTCAAAACCCTACTTCTGCCAAGCCCTGAGTTTATTGAATTACAGCCTTTTAATAATGGTTTCTATAAGCAAAGCTTCTAATCTAGTGCCTCATAATTGAAACTTTTATTAAGTTTGTACTCTGTGCTAGACAGTAGGGGACACAAAACTAGAGTGCTTCCTTACGTGTAAGGAGACTCAGAGAAGTTACATAAATACCCCAAGACCACACAAACAATAAGTGACTAAATCAATAGTCAAATTGAGGCTCTTGCTGGCCTCAGAGCCTGTTCTCCCTCCATCTTTCCCCCTCCCTCCACACACCAGGGGCTTTCTTCAGGAAAGGGAACTACAGCACTGTTCGGCAGACAACGTGGGGGGGCCAACCCAAGGGACTGCCATTTTACCTGAAAATACCCGTATTAGCGAAATCAGTTAGCTGACTCTCCCTTTCTTGGATGTTATTTTCAATAGATTTGAGGTAAGAAGCAAAAAGACCTTGACTTGGGATGAAGTACCCTGTGCGCTTGGGTTATAGCGCCATCATGTGGTCCTTCCATTCCTGCACATGGGCGGCTGCAGGATGTGGTAGGGACCTTCCCCGTGCACAGCAGCTTTCTGCTGCCACTGCAGTTTCACTGGGAGAGGAAAGGGTTTGTATGTGTTGCATTCAAAGATCCCTAGACTTTTCAGTGGTCATATGTGCGGTTTGAAAAAGCCAGACAAGCAATGTGACTTTTAAGACATTGAGGAATGCTTTCTCGGAACCCCTATATTACATGTAGAAACTTAACAATTTAGAACATATTTAAAAATAAATGCACGACACTGTTGGTTCAGAACTAAACTCACATTTGTTGTTTGTAGGTCCTTCCACTTGACCTTTCACGCAACAACGGGATATCAAAATCCCATGCACCCTTCAGGACCAAGGCAAACAACCCCTGGTATTTTTTTCCCACGGGTTTCTCTCCTAAGGGTGGGCCATTAGAAAGTAAAGTATCTTTGGAGTCAAGTACAAATAAACTCTGACTCCTCTTTTTGCTCCTTAGGCTAAGAATCTCAGCTTTTCATATGTATAAACTGGGGAAAAGTGCCTACTTTTTCTGGTTGTTTTGATCACTTTCTGCCTCTCAACAGATTAGTATTTTTTCCTTCTTTCCTCCCCTTCCCGCCTTCACCAACTCTTAGCATTTTTAAACTTAATTTGTGGAAAAGATGAAATTCTTCCTTGAATTTTTTCTTTTGCTTAGTTGAATATAACCTTCTGGTGGGTGAATATTGTATCTGTGTCCCCTCACAGAGCTCAGAACAGTATCTTTATTTGCTAATAATTTAGTGCACGCTTGTCAAATGAATGAATATAGTTTAGCCACTAACAGGTAAAAAGAGAGGACTTTTGGGCTGGCCTAGAGCATATGTTTGCCCACTGGAGCAGAACCAAGGTGGTATGTTGACATGAAATTCCACATAGAACTTGATGGTCCTGAACGGTGAGAGACCTTTGAACTGAGGCTTGCTGACTTACGGAGTCGTCCATGCCCAGGAGGACCAGCAATGGGATGGTGGTCATCCCTCCATGGACCCATTCCTGCAGAGACACAAAGCCGTCCCGGTCGTAGTCCATCCCCTGCAACATCTCCTTCAGTATCTGCGGAATCCACAGAGCAGCATTTGTCCGCTTTCACCTTTGACGCCTTTACCCCACCCTCCGCCCTCGTATTTCTCTTTTGTTGTGCATTGTCTGGTTTGTGTTTCTCCCCCTTCCCCTCCCATTCACAGTGAGTAGAGCAGTGAGGAGAAAAATGGGGCCCGAGGAGACCAGAGGTCCAGGCGTGGCTCTGCCTGACCTGACTGAGTGCCCTTGGGCAAGCCAGCCAGCCGGACTCCCTGGGTTCTGTTTCACTCATCTGTAAAATGGAAACACTGTTGCTGTGTACTCAGCACTGTAGTGAGGATTAGAGAAAAGGTCTATGAAATGTAACTTTATATAAAAAACAAAATGACTCTTATTACCTGATGATGGAGGAAAATCTTTAAAATTCTTTCTAGCTCTAAGTTCTTTGATTTATGAGCTTCTGTTATAAAAATTTAGCTCTGATAAAAAGGTCAGGGGAATTATTACATGAATTATGTCTGCACTTTCCCCTGCTGCCTATGATTTTTCCCATCAGCGAAGAGGGAGATCAAGGTGTAGGACCCCAGAGAAGCTGCCTACAAGAAGATGAGTCGGGAAGAGCCTGCCTATTTCTCTCCTGAGTGTGTCCCACTTTTCTCTTGAAAACTCACTCAGAAGTCACCCCGTGTTTCCAGAAACTCACAGGCCTTAACTCCGTGGGATCCCATTCAAGATACTGAGCAATGTGCAGCATTTGGGTGACAATACGATCCATCTCCTAGAAAACATCAAGGGGAGAAACCAACTGAAGATGAATTTTAAGAGCAAGGCTCAACATCAAACCGGGTGGGAAGATGGGCAGAGCAGACGTGCAAGAGGCAACCGCACATCGGAGTTTCCCACCCCCTGTTTCTCCCTCCCTCCTCCGTTCTCTCAAAATAAATAAATAAAATCTTTAAAAAATGCATTTTATCTCAATTAAAAAGTAACTCATTGCAAAACTGCACATGAGGTGGTAGATGTGAATAAGAAAGTAGGCAGAAAGGTGGAGACAGGGTTTGGCATTAGTTCCAATGGAAAGAGTCTGTGAGTCCAGTTGGGACTAAGATTCGATGAGAAAACACGATTCAGGAACTGAGAATTAGACTCATCCTTGAGCTGCGAACACGGATGGGCATTTTCAGGAAGCAGAGGGGGCAGATTTCAGGCAGACCTAGCTCGCCTGACGTCACCCGGGTCAGGCCACATGAGGATGATTAACAAGCCATGGAGCTGTGAATTCAGTTCTGTGCCACGTTTTAAGAATGGTGTTGACAAACCAGAACTTGACCAGAGTGCGTGTTTAAGCCTGCCTTATGGGAAACATCATAGTAATTGGGAAATTTGAGCTTGGGGGACATTTCAGAGGAGGTGTGGAAGTACCTCCAAATACTGGAAGGCTGATTGTGTAGAATCGGTTTTCCACCAGTCAGGTGTCCTGGTCAGCCACAGAGGGCAGAAGCAAACAAGGGGTGTAGGGAGGGATTTGGTGAGGGCTGGCTTATTTTGGCCTCACTGTTGGTGGGAAAGGGGGAGGGGAAGAAGTAGGTTTGATGTTGAAATTTCCCTGGGAGTCTAGAGGTGCCTTTTGTGCTGGAAGGAAGCCTTTCTAAGTCGCCCTCAGCAGCGGGGAGACTGTTCTGAGGCAGCGGGTGAACTCTCCAGTACTGGGAGTGTTCACCCAGTACGCTGGGCGTCCAGCTGCCAGGGATTCTCAGTGGGAAGTTGAATCAGGTAATTTGAAACTGCTTCCGTCCACCAATATTACCTTCCAAACACATCTTAAATTTAACTACTTTTACTACCTGCAATGCTTCTATCCTGGTGCAATTTACCATCACTTCCTGTCTTGCTGATTTCAATAAACCTCCTACGTAGGATCCCTGCTTGCACCCCCGCAGTCTAGACAACACAGAGGCTACAGTGATCCTGTTATAACCAGGTCACCCATGTCACTCCCCTGCTCAAAATCTCCAATAGTTAGTTCTCCACTCACCCAGAGTAAAAAGCCAACCCTTTCAATCACCTCAAAGGTTTGATGATACTTTGTAAACTTTCTCTACCCTTCATCTCACTTCTTCTCTGATCTCATCTCTAATTACTGACTCACTCTGACCTCACCTTGAACTCTCTGCTACAGTCACTCTGGCATTCTAGGTAATCTGCTAACATTCCAGGCACCTCTCAGGTCCTTTGCACTCCCTGTCCTCTCTCCTGGAAGGCGAGACGTGCTCTCCTAGGTCCCCTAGACCCAGGTGTTTCCTCAGGACTTACAGTCTCTCACCTCCTTCAAGCTTCTGCCAGCTGCCCCCTCAGGGAGACCCTCCTTAGCTCCTTTAGCTGAAAGTGCAGTGCCCTCTAACACTTCCTTCTCTCCTTTGTTTTTCTTCTAGCACACATCTCTAGCACACATTGTACTGTTTTTCAGTGTGTGTGTTTGCATTAGAATGAATGCTTCATGAGGGCTGTTTTTTTCTTTTTGTCAGTTGGCTCACTGCTTTATCCCCAGTGTTTAGCACATAGTAGATAGTTAATAAACATATGTCCACCAATGGTCGAGAGTCTGTGATTCTTTGGTTGTTCCCTCGCATGACATAAAGCACAGCATTGCACTGTGGCTGTAGGGCTCCCATAGACGGAGTTTGGAGGGCATTGGGATGGATGATTTAGTTGGTCTAGTGGACTCGTTCCCTTTCTTCTTCCCTCTGTTCTGACTCGACCCTACACACCCCAACTTCAGGGCCTTTCTGTCGGTGAGTCCCATCTTTAACATTGCCAGCCATGAAGACAAGGCCTGCATGATTCTTTCACCCTCTCCCCTCTCTGCCTTATTCCTTTTCTATTCTTCGTTTCGCTCCACAATCTCTGACCTATCTCTGCCTATTCCGGAGGGAAAGGGGTGAGTCTCAGGCTTTTTCAGGTGCAATGAGATAAGATCAGGTGTTCAAAGCAGACAGAGCCAAATTCCTAAAGTTAGTGCCCTGGAGTATGAGAGGATGGATGGCAAGGGCAACACCAGAGCACACCTGCAGTTACCTGCCCTCCTCCTGCCCTCCTGTGCTGGTCTTGCTGCCTCTCCCAGCTCCTCTCCTCTGCTCTTGGACTACAGCAGGAAATTGCAGGAAGAAGTTCTGAACCCATTAGGAAATTAAACTGGATAAGATACTAAAGCATCTCCCCATTCTGAGATTTTTATAATCCTGGGCTTCTGGAACGAAAAGACAAGTTGGAGTTCACTCTCCTGCAGGCTGGCTTTTTGGAAATAGAAGGTGGGGGGGTGTTCTACTCTTTTCTGTATCCCGTATTGAGGTATTGCTATTCTTATAAAAATAGGTCTCTTACAAAGAATTTTCAGACTCTTTCTCTATCTGTTCCTTTCTTCCTCTGCCTTTCGTGGATCCAGAAGGGCTATTTGGAGAGCTTACCGCTTGATCCAGAAGACCGTTCTCATCCGAATCATAGAGACGGAACATGACTGCAAGAAACACAGAGATGAGGCTTGAGGCGTCATCCAAGCACCAGGGACTGGCTGAAGCTTTGCTGCTGCCAGTTTTAGATCAGTTCTGACCACCACTGGGGCAAAGGCTATTGCAGCCAGCTCACCCACCCTCCAAAGGCACAGTCTGACCTCCTTCAAGAGAAGTGGGGAGAGGGAGGAGAACCAAGCCACCTGGCTTCTGGGACTGACAAGATCCAGGTTATGAGAGCAATTCCCTATAGAGCATTCAGACCTGTCAGCATCACTGGAATACAACTCAAAGCATGCCCAGCTGGTGGTGGGGCAGGGGCACCAGAAGTATAGATGGAGCATTGCTTCTGTTGCGCACAAAAGGGTGTGGAATGAGGCCAATTCAAATCTTAGTTCTTCCTTACTCCCTCTTGGGAGTCAACTAAGTCATTTAGGCTCAGTTTCTTCATCTGTAAGATGGAGCTTATAATGGTTTCTTTGTCTTAGATTTTTTGAAGTGAGGAATAATATGAAAGCTATATGCCTAATCTACAGTGCTTGGAATGTAGAAAGCATACAGCAGATGTTATTTATTTTTATTTTATTTCATTAATAAACACTTATATAAGGCATTTATAGGTACAAGTCACTTTATCATTATTAGTTATTTAATCCTCCATAGTGCTACGAAGTAGTTACTGTTATAGAAATTATCGCGTTTCTTTTTCTAAAAGAATAGCATGTCGTCGTGGTATTCACAAATATCCTCTATCATGTCTAGTAGTAGAGAGGTGATATAGGATGAAGAAGATTCGGGAGAGACATTTGAGCGAAGGACTAAATGTTCATTTATGGGACCTGGAAACTTGCACTTTGTTCACCTGAAATTGACAGCCTGTCTGTGGTCTCAGAAGGAAGCAGGGTGGGGGCAGAGCCGAGCATGTCTTCATGTTCCCCCCTCCTGTAACACCCTTCCTTGTGCCGGCTTTCTCTGTGAGCCTCCCCTGACCCGCCCTCCCCCTACGGCCACTCTGTATCTCTCAGCATGTACCCACAGGGTCACAGCACTCCTGTGCAGTTGCCCTTGGGTTGTCATGTCCTTCTATGTGTTTTAATGTCTCTGCAGCTCTTGTTTGTTCAGTGGGGCATCCCTGGTTTGAGGTTAAGTTGTTTAGAGTAGGGTCATGGGCTTCTGATTCTTTGTCAGTCCTCAGAATGTCCTGGTCAGAGGCACATAGCATATAAGTCTGACTTACCATACAGACGGCGGAATGATGTAAAGAAGGGCAACTACCATATGATTGATCTCATGTATGTGTGGAATCTAATGAGCAAAATAAACCGATGGACAAAACAGAACCAGAGGCATGGAATACATGGAACAGACTGACAGATTTCAGCGGAGAGGAGTCTGAGGGGGACTGAATAAAAGAAGGTGAAGAGATTAGCCAAAGAATATATAGACATAGCCCACGGACACAGACAATAGTGTGGTGGTGGCCAGAGGAGGGGCGAGGGGCTTGGTGCAGGTGGGCAAAGGTGGGGAGAAATGGGGAACATCTGTAGCCGTGCCAACAATTTTTTTAAAACAAAGAAGGACAGACCTCCCACTGTGTTGCTCCTGGACCCTGGGCAGGGGGCACTCTAGCACAGAGCTCTCTTAGTCCTACTGTGTGTGAGGGGTAGAAGCAGAATGTGCGAGTAAGCATCCTATATTTTAGTATCCTGGCCTGGGACAAATCATTCTGTGCTTTCTTACATTTACAAAGAGAATAATTACATCCATCTTCCAGGGCTATTATGAAGTTAAAATGAGATAATCCACTGCAAGTGCTCAGCAAATATAAGGTGTTCAGTGATGAGAGTTATTATTGTTATTACTGTGTTGGTGATAGATGGTGATTTCAGGCAATTATTTCCAATAAGATGTATATTTGGTCATTAAAAAGAAAAGCTTAACTGTTTTTAATTATTAAAGTCAGGGGAGAATTTAAATTTGTTTGGTTTAGTTATAAACAAGAAAAGGAGATGAAAACTGTACAGGACAAATGACCAAGTTTCTGCAACAAAAAATTGCAAGGAAAAAAAATAAGCAAAAGATGAAAAGAAACTGAAGAGACATAATTGATGGCAATGCACGGTCCTTACTTGGGTCCTGACTCAAACAGTTAAAAATATGTAAGATAATTGGGAAAATGTGAATACAGCCCAAATATTTGATGGTAGTAAGGAATCATTTTCTTTAGACGTGATAATGGTGTTGTGGTTATACTGAATAAAAAGTCATATTTTAGAAGTACATACTAAAATATTTACAGATCACAAATTATATGAGGTCTGGAATTTGCTTCTAAGTAATCTGAGGCAGAGGGAATGGGTGGGAGGCATAAACAAGCCATGACTGACAATAAACTGGTAATTGTTGAAGGTGGCTGACAGGAGCATCTAAGTCCATTGGACTCTCCACTTTTATCTATATTTGCAATTTTCTATAATACAAGTTTTACCATAGGCAGTGTCCTTGTATTGGCATTACTAGATAAGCCTGAGAGCCACTGATGTGAAGTGTCTGCCACACCCTCTTTGGTAGTTATGAACAAATATAAAGCCTGCAACTCCAAATCCATCTGAATGGTAGAAATAATTCGACATTTCACTTTTAACATTAGCCAGAAGGAACAGAAATCTGCTACAGTTGCTTCCAAATTAGTGTTTAAGACTTGCAAGCGTTAACGCCTCAAACCTACGAGAATGATTTTAAGATCAGTTAATGAGCAAAATTTCATCTGTTCTTGGCAAGTGTTAACCTTTGCCAGACTTTTCCTCGCTGATGTTTAAATTTTGTTGGTGTCTTACTAATTACTGGAATTTGGACTTTTGCTATAATGTGTATGTTTTCCCTTTAATGTCTGCTAAGGTTGTAAGAGAAGCCAGAACAATGTACACATATTTTTAACAAGTTCCTATCACCACCCGTTTTAAAAAGTTTTCCTGCAGGCTCACAGAGGCCAGTGAGACCATCCCTGGAGTGAATCAGCTGCAAGACTGTTTCAGCCACTGTGGGCTTTTCTTTTTGTCACCAGCTATTATTTTCCTCCCAAACGTATGTTTTTGAAACCTACTTTAGTAGCAGTGTGATTCCAAGCTCAACTCCCTTAATGCACTAGCCCTTTTTCTCTAGAAGCCAACAAATTATGGGTTAAAAAATGGCAATATGCTTTAACAAGGTGAAGGCTGATTAGATCTCAGGGAAAAAAATTCCTCATAGTAATGGAGTTCCTTGGGCACAGAATATGGGAAGGAAGACAGATGCTGAATATCTTTCCTTGAAAAAATCTAAGAGGAGGCAGCAGCTTCCTGGTTCTAGGCCTTCAGGAATTCCTGCCGGCAAAGGAAGGGAGTCTCGAAGCCCTGCGGAGATCGGTTCCATTCTAAATCCTGATTCTCAGTACCACGGTCTCAGATGCACTTCCCACTCTCTCTGCATCTGGTACTGTGCCCCAGGGTGGATTCTAGGAAACGTTCCTATCACTGCTGAAGACGGGGCAGAAAAACCTTTCCCGAGGAGGCAGGACCCATTCCCATGGCCCCGGAACAACCTCCAGCATGTTTACCGTGATGGGTGGAACACTGGATCTTCCTCTAGGAAAAAGCTGCAGCCCTTGACAGGCTGAGTACTTACACTCTAGCTTATCCTGAGGTCTGCCTGTCTCCAGCAGGGACAGGTAGCACACCACGTCCTTCAGGTGCACGGTGGGGGCGTCTGAGTCTGCAGGCTGGGCAGCAGCGTTTCCCACGGCCGCTGCAGCCACTTGGTCTTTAGCTGGCACCTGCTTCTCGGTGATCTTTGATTCTGTAATAGGCAAGAGGAAAGCATTCAATGACTTCTGTTTAGTAAATATTAAATGCTTTTCATGGCGGAGGCAGGAAGTTTGTATGTGTCTTCAAAAGCATTGGTTACATAAACACGATCAAATCAGTGGCAACCAGAAATCCGGTTTGTGGGGTTTCTACTCTGAATGGACTTCATTCTGACTATTTGAACTGTCTCTATCCTTGGAATACATTCACCTATACTCTGTCAATTTTCAGAAAAGATGACAGTAATTTTTCATAATGTCAATAGCCAACAGATTGAAATCATTTACCCAATTTGTAAAGATAATTTTGGCTTGGATTCCAAAATTCAGACAATTGGTCATTTACCAATATACCTTTTCACAATTTTCTTTTCATTAAATGAGATTTCACAACTTTCTTCTTGTTAATGATGTATTAAATGTATCATTAAATACATTTAATGATCAATAAAAAGATGATTAGTCAAAAGAGAAAACTGGGATTGACATATAATTAATTTCCAGAAACTAGAAAGAATTTCAACTAACTGCAAGCTGAATTTGTTGAATTAAGAAAATGCAGGGGTGGAGGGTATAAGGGGACTAAATGGTAATGGAAAAAAATACAATAAGAAATTTTAAATGCAGAAAGTGGCTTACTGTACCACCGAAATAAAGTAAGTTTTCCCTCTGAAGTTTTTCTTTTCATAGGTGGGAAAACTCTGCCTCTTTCACATTATTTGTCTTCTGGGCCAGAAATATAAGGTTATTACTGACTGGAAAACTAGGTGTCTATATTTCACTGTGTAATTTATACTTTTCTGAGGCCCTTTGAGTGTTCTCTCTCTTCTCCCAACCTCTCTATATCCATGCCCTCTAAAAACTATCTCTGAGTGTCCAGTGACAGGGAGCAGCAACTTACAGAAAACACTAAAAGGGCCACATCGAATGGGAATTCTTTCTGCTTGGGCAACAGGAAGGTTAGAATGTTCAACCAATGGCCTATCTTCGGTGATTCCGGAGCATGGCTCTTCCTTGCTGCGAAAGGTCCTTCTCTGTGGTGTCTGCCTGGCCCTATGATCTTTCTTCTAATGAACAGGTACAGAATCCATAAAAAGTGGCCTCTCAGAAAAAGGATTTTCTACTTTAAACCTTGAATTACAAAAGAAGATGAAAAAAGTGCTCTATACTTCCCTTGGCAACAGCCAGGTAAATGGCCTTTCATGATTGACCGCAGGACACTGATACTCCACATACACAAGCAAAAATCACTTCTCTGAGAGCAGGAAGTTGCTCTCAGACCCAGAATGATATAAATGTTGCCAGGAAGCATGGTGGTCAAATAAGTTAGCCAAGTTCCATTATCATCATCAATTATCTTTTCTCAAATATCATGTAATAACAGCATCCCTAGTAAGTCTTTGGTACCTCAGAAACTTTGGCCATAAAACAAACGACGGCCAGACAATGTGGTAACTCAGAGAGTGAAATGTAACTTCTCTTGGGGTCCTTTTGAAGTTCTGAGTACTCGGACTAGGAGAGTCCGAGCAGTATGGTCCAAGGCAGCTCTCCATTCCCAGCCATGCTCTTTCCATCCATACTGAACTTCTGATCTCCATCCATACTGAACTTCTGATCTCACCAGTCTTTCAAGTTAAACATTGAAAGCTTGATGATCCCTTCTTGTTATGGTAAGATAAAAAGATTTGAACTATATCTAGTATCCACTAGGAGAAATTCTCTCACCCTAGGTCCCTGTTACAATGAGCTCTGATTTATTTGTAGTATCTCACATCTATCCTGCTTTATATACACTTGAAGATACAGTAAAACTGTATTCTCTATTCCCTAGCCACATCCCAAGACTTGGAACTCATCCATGTGTCTCAGTCTTTACAGACAAAAATGAGTAGGCAATTAGGTCTGATTCTCTGACTCTTCGTATTTAAAGTTCCAAGAGAACCTGGGAGGGAGAGAGTCCTCGAGAGTCCTTCTACGGGAATAGGATGTCCAACCGATGCACCTGGAAACTGAAGGTGAAGATGGAAGGAGATCTTGGAAGACCATGACGAGTTTAGAGTAAAGTATACTTACCTACCTGAAACTAATATAATATTGTATGTCAACTCTAATTGAAAAAACAATTGAAAATTTTAAAAAATGCATTTCCAGAGAGTGGCTTGAAAAATAATTTTTTATGTTTATTGAACATTTACTATGTTTCAGGCACTATGCTAAGCATTTTATACACATAACTTACTTAACCTCCGTATCAACACATTATCACCTCATGTTACAGGCAGAGAAACCGTGGCTTTGAGATTGGACAATTCTGGATTGGCTCCCCAGCTCTGCAGGTCATATACTGGCTTACAAAAAAAAACTTTTAAAGCCTCAGTTCCTTAATGTGTAAAGTGGTGTGATTGTGAAGACTAAATAAAATATGCAATAATGGAGGTGCCTGGAAAATAGATCTTCAAAACAATGTTAGCCGGCTTTCCTTGCTCCTCCTCCCAACTTATTCAAACCAGTGCACATGCATGTCGCTGGAAGTCAACCAGGGCAGTCTCTTGCCTTCTTGCCCTACCTGCCTCCAGCCATCCACTGGTAGAGTCATCTGTCTCTTAGCCCAGAACTGTTACCCAGCCTCAGAATCCCAGCACATTTGTGTGGCAGGGCCCCCAGAGATGGAGGCAGATAGGATCTGCCCAGGGGCAAACAGTTACATGGAGACAAAGCTGCTGGTTAGGAGTTCCTTCTCTACCCCAAGAATGAGGTCTTCCCCATTCCTCCCCAAATCTTGTATTCCAAGGACTTACCTGTATCAGGGGCACAGGCCTCATCTGCTTTGGCAGCATTATCTGCATTCTGTATATCAGAATCTGAAGAACAAAGAGAAGATTTGAAGGCCGGCCCATGCCTCCAGCTTCTTAGATGGGCAGGTAGGGGGCCTTCCCTGGGGTCTGGATTGCTTGGGTTGTATCTGTGGCCTCATTGGTTGTCAGCAGGGCTCATGCTTACTTATTGGGCTTGGTTGTTTCTACCCTATTATAGCCCAAGTTTCCAGAAACAAGTGACCGCACCTTACCCTCCTTCTGGCTGTCCCATGCCTGGGTGCACAAGCTGACTGTGCTCCATCCACAGACTGGCAGTCTTTGTGAAAGGCTCTTTTCTCCCTGACGTACCTGAGTCTGTGCCTTCTCCTCCCTCCAGCCTTCCCTATGAGTCTGAGTGGCAGAAATTATGCCTTTCTCTATTCTTCTTACTGAGAGATCCATCACATAAGGCTTCCTGTGAGGTATAGCCCCCTGGGTTATAACCCACAGGTTGTGACTAGGTCCCCAGTCACAACCCACAGGTAAGTTACTATGCCTGTGGGAAGTGGGTTAGAGCTGCAAAAACCCTCTTCTATGATGGAGAATGTTGGTCCGTGTACCTGGGGCACCAGCCTCGCTGTTACTGGTCTCCTCCTTTGGGCGCTCAGGAATCTCCTGTCTGGGCTTCTGGCTGAAGGCCAGGAAGAGGTGCGTGCTCAGTGGCTGGGGAAGGTCCACCTCCAGGTATGCCTTCATGAACAGCTTGAAGACATCATAGCTAATTGTCTGAGAAGGAGCAAAGAGAGCAAAATCAGTGGAGAGACTCAAAGAACAGAGAGCAGGGGGAGAAAAAAAAGGAATCAGGGAGCTGGCAGGCAAAAGAAGTGGAAAGGGAAGCAGAAGGAAGTGGAAGTGGAGTGGAAGTGGAGTGGTGGGGGCAGGAAGGAAAAGGCCAGGGGGCGATAGAGAACGGCAGGCGCAGGGAGCAGGGAGGAGGATGTAAGGAAGAGAAAACAGTGGCTGCTGCATGTCAGGGCTCAGGGGGGCACGGAACCACAGGAGGCTTTTGTAACCAGACATTGCTAAATTCAAATGGAAAAGGGAGTGATGAAGAGTGAATGTTGGGAGTGGAGGCTTCAGGCCCATGTGAGGGACTTGGCTCTAATGAGCAGGACTAGCTCAGTGCCCTGGAATCCTGGTTAAGATGAAGAAGCATGTATTTGAAAACACAGTGGAAAGAAATGGCTCTTCTGTGATATGTCAATTTTCTCCTTGTGCTTTGAGTAATGTAATTCCTGAGTATTTAGGTCCTGACCTGAAAAATAGGAAAAACCTGGAAGAGAAAACAACAGGCTCCATCCTTTATGACTTTCATAATGCACCTTCCTGAACAAACCTCAAGATAATGGGGGAGGGTGTCTGGCTCCGCTGCTCTCAGAACATGTCCTTGTGAAGGTTTTAGGCACTGGGAGAAGAGCAGGAAGCCAAGGACAGAAGGCAGAACCAAGAAACATGCCAAAAACTAGAATGTCTCCCTGCTGTATCTCCCCCAGTACTGCCTGGCTTCTGGGCCCAGGCTGGGAGCAACCAGCCAGAAGAGGCTGTGGCACTCAGCAAACACTCAACAGTTTGCAGTGAGTCATCACTGGCTCATGCTTTGATGGCATCACATTCTTCATCAAATCAGCAGATGCTCCTGGAAATCTCTTGAGGAAGCATTACTCCAAGATCTGCTGTGCAGTCTTTTGTGAATAATAACAGCCACGAGGATAAAATCCCTTGTTGGGAGCCTATTTGGTTCTCCCTCCAAAATGTTGATAACATTTAACCCCTTGTCTCTTCTGGAAGTTCTGGGAATGTTCCCAGAACCAGGAGCTGTGGCTTGCATGTATACCATCAGGCTTGGGCTACAAACTCTTGATCCCGTAGTGAAGTCATAAGGCAGTTTCTACTTAGCACCAGGCCAGGCTATTCATCTTTTTTGTGGATTGGAGGAAGCTTCATTTGGTTTAAGAGAGGTTGATTCAGGCTCTTACTAGATAAAGAGATCTTTAAGCAAAGGGTGGACTCATGTTTCCTGTGACAGCTACCAGTCTCTGTCTCTATCTCTATCTCTATCTTTTCTGTACCTAAGTCTCTATGTCTCTATTTCATCCTCTTTTTGTCCATCTCTATCCCCATAATTTTATCAGCACAGGCTGTATCTTCCTCACATATCCTCCTCCTTTTTCCAAGTATGCAAGAGCAAAATCTTTTTCTTCTACTTTCCACCCACTATGACCTTTGACCCCACTCTCCCTGCCTCTGAGGGCATCTTCTAGAATCTGCTTGTCTATCTACAAGCATGTTCAAGGTCACTATTCCAAAGAAATTGCTGATTGGTAGAGCTACTACTAGCTTCCCTCCTCCTTCATTTTTCTCCAAACGGACCACATTAGGCTCCTCACCTTAATCTCATTCACTTTGGATTCTGATCCATCCCCTCTGAACTTGCTCTCTTGAAGGTCACAGATTCAGTTGTTTCTTCTTAGATTTGACCAAGTGAATGCTGATGGCACTGTTATTAATTTATTTTAAGGCTCTTTTTGCACTGTTTTTTCCTTTGCTCTGTATTAATTAAGTACTGTTTTAAAATGTAGTTTTGAGGTCCAAAATGTCTTGCTATTTTTTGGGGTCAGCATTAAATTGAATTCTATTAGCATAAAAATGTTTCTGGAAAATAGACTGTACTAAGTGATTTATAAAAAGAAATTTTACTTGAATAAAGTTTAATGTAATGCTTTTATAAAACCAAAGCTGAAAGATCACCAAACAAGATCATTGTGAGATTCAGGAGATCTCATGACTGGTTCCCCACTTTTTGAAGCTCAGTTTCTTTTGCAGCAAATTATGAGTGCTAGATTAGGAGAACTCAAATTCTAAACTTCTATTAGTTTCCTCCCTAAATCAGCTCCTCTTTCTGACCCTGCAGTTTCTGTTAATGTCAATGATGCTGTTATTCTCTCAACATTCCATGCTCAGCTTTGAACTCCCAGTAGCCTAAGACTAGGTCTTGTCTCTTCCTCCTGTGTACTGGGCGTTTGCAATGCCTGTCACATCCAAGTCTATTTGTGGCCATTGCCCAACTACCAGCACTCTGACAAGGGGGCCACTAACCCTGGTTTTAGACTTCTCTTGCACCTATCCTACCTGCTATGGTAGGGTATGTCTCAGAGATTTCTTTGCTATCCAGCTACTTGTCCTTCCATCTATCTTTCTTTGCCAGGCTGACCTTCCTGAAGCAGAGTGCTTCTCTACTCAGAAATGTCTGTGGCTTCTAGTTAGCTCATAGAAGACTTGAGATCAGTTGTCTCCAAATTTCTAAAATCATGTGTCCCTCCACAAGATTTTAAGTATGCATTCTCATTTATCTTTACTTATAAATTATGCACATGTACTACTGTGCTCCTCTACTATAATTAAAAACATACACAAAAGAGAAATTAGAAAGTAGAAATTAGATGAAATAAAAATCAGTGTAAATAGAAGGTCTAACGGGTAACGTTTCCAGAGTCCAGTGGGTTATCCTGTGCATTCCCTAAATCCTTTGGGATTCATAGTCTTCCCATAATCCCGCTCCAGCCTAGATTTGTAGCTACTTCAAGCTCCGAGACCATTCTGGTCTTTTCTCCTATCGGTGCCTATGTACACCTTCACACTCTGTCTATACCGACTTCTGTGGTCTTTTCTGGTCAACCCTTCTGCACTTTACATGAACTGCTTCTGTCTCTACCCATTACAGTTCCAGCCATCCTTTAGGGTCCAATCCAGATGATCTCCTCTGCCTGAATTGCTATACGTTTCCACCTTGGTTCCTGTTTTGGGACCCTCATATCAGCTGCCCTCTATCAATATATAGTTATCCAGCATGTGCCTTTGTTCCTTGACTAGATTTAGAACTCCTGGAAGATAATGAAATGCCTTATTTCCTCCTCGTATCACCTACACTACCTATCACAGTGTTTCCTGATAGGTACTTTAATGAATGTTGGATTTCTAACTGGTACAGTTGATTGTCAATTATTATGGGATCCATTCAGTCAACACATATAAACTGAGTCTCCTAAGTATAAGACAGCATGGGACACCACTGGGGAATACACCAATAAATTAAGCATTAAGCAAGGGTCCATACCTTCAAGAGACTCAGATATATATGGTAAAGGTACTAAAACAGAGTCCATAGTGGTGAGTACCATAGGAGAGAAACTGACAAATTGTTTAGAGAACTTCAAAAACAATAATGACTGTGAACACATGCTCAATTGTTTACGTGCCCCTCCTGTGGCACAAGATGGAATAGAATAAGCCCAGAAACTCAGGGCATTCACATCAGAAGAGTTCAGAGGGGACTAGATCTCCCCAGGTCACTGAAGCTCTAGAAGTTCAGTGATTTGTCTCCGCCGGCTAGTGGCAGAGTAAAATCAGAAGCTGGATCTTTTGACTCCTAGTCCAGTGCTCCTGCTATTGTGTTTGTTACAGGTCTTAGTGCTGATATCATGTCCCCTGCCACATCTTCTAAGCAGCCCAGTATCAGTAGGCCAAGAGATGTGACCATGTGCCATTGTCAAAATGATGTCTGGATTATGAGTGAGTAAATTCTTTATCAGCACAGGTCGGGCTCAGAGTAGCTGGCTGGTAAATTTGTGATGGGTAGGGAGTGGCTGGATACTATGTGCAAACCAGATAACTAATTGCTGTGAGGCACACTGGCAATTCTCTGAGCCCTGGAGTAACATCATAGCCACTGCCATTGTTCAGGTCTGTTTTTTTTCTCTAGAAACTGCAGCTTTCGTGCAAGAACTAGCTAGGCAACTGTTGCTGCAAGCTGTGTAAAGAGAATGTGTTAATTCTTACACAGGTCAAGAAAGGGGGGTGGAGCAAGATGGATAATTTACCTTGTGTTGGGCACTTTCCATACACATCTCTTAGTAAGTCTCAAAACAGCAGTGGGAGGTGGGACTGTTACTGCCATTTGTGGATGAAAAGATTCTGAGAGCAAAAATAACTTGCTCAAATTCATAAAGCAGTGTCAGAGCTGATCTGTGTCAGAGCTGAGGGGCTGGGCACGCTTGGCGTGGGCAGATGCAGCCCTGTGGCTCTGCAACCCCACCTCACTTTCCTAGCAACCTGCCCCTTCCTGCTGCTAGCTGGTTTCTCATTGAGACATTTTAGCAGCAGTAAGCCATCATGCTTAAGAGAAATTAAACACTGTTGTTTCCCCAACCCCATGCTGGGACATTACACCTACTAGAAGTCAGCCACGGTGTGAGAGAGAATGAAACCAGAGTGGCAGAGCTCCCCTGGGACACAGCAGTGCCAGGAGCACAAAGAGTGGGGGCCAGCATGATGGAGGTGGGGGCGGCAGCACGCTCTTAACAGCCAAGCTGCTCCCAGCTTCTGAAAGCTCCCATGGCCTTCACACCCTGGGTGGCCCTGACCAAATTGTTCTCCTCCCACTTGTCAGCCTCAGGGTGGACAGGCTGATTAGCAGCCCCCCCCCCCCCCCCCAGGCTTTGTTTCTCTTTAGAGCAGGGGTGAGGGGAGAAGGTGGGAGGGAGTTCTTTGCTGGCTCTGCCATCTTCCCCACATGGCTCCGCTTTAGGAATGTTTTTGAAATGGTGTATTCTCAGTCTAGCTTAGGTTCCAGAAACCTTCCTCTGGCTCTCTTCTCTTGGCAATTGGTGCGTTTTCATCCAAAGCCCCTCCCAGATGTACCTGGAAGGTATGAGCTCTGTCGATTCCTTCCCAGTGCCCAAAAGAGAAGTTGAATGATGGGTTTGTCTGAAGGATAACAATATGAATAAACAAGTGGTCAAGTTTATCCTGTTGATCAGTCACTTTTCTGCAACAGGTCCTCAAAAAGGACACAGGACCAGGGAAGAGGGAGTTGAGTTGAAAACATTCTGGGGAACTGGGACAGAAAGAGAATAATAAATAATGGATACCATTTTAAAAAAGTATTTATTTATTTTTTAGAGAGAGGGGAAGGGAGGGAGAAAGAGAGGGAGAGAAATATTGATGTCAGAGAAAAACATACATCGGTTGCCTCTTGCACATGGCCCGACTGAGAATTGAACCAGTGACTACTCACCTTGTAACTGGGGACCAAACCTGCAACCTAGGCATGTGCCTTGATGGGGAATCGAATAGGAGACCCCTCTCCTTACAGGCTGATGCTCAACAAACTGAGCCACATCGGTCAGGGCCTAGTACCATTTTTAAGTGTCCTATCTAAGTGTTACACACTTTGCAAAAAATTATTTCATTTAATCTATCTGCAAATTTCAAGGTCTTTTGTTGTTATTGTTCTTAACTTTAGATCACAGATGAAAAATTGAAGCTCAGACAGGTGAAACATTGTTGGCTGGCAGCAGGGGTAGGGATCTAACCTAAAACCATGTAAATACAGGGTCATGGCTCTTAAACTTGACCCTGTCAGGAGGAAATTAAGCTTCAAAGGGTAGAAACTATGTTTTCTCACCTTTATATTTTCTATAGTGCCCAGCACAGCGCCTAGATGTTCAAGATGACTTGAATATGAAGGTGGGGGAGGTCTTGCATGCATTTATTTATCCAGCCCTTATTTATTGAGTGCCTATTATGTGTCAGATACTTTTCTGGGCCCTTGTGGGAAAATGCAGTGAACAAAAATATTCTAGTGGGAAATATAGACAAATAAGTAAGTTATATAGTGTGACAGATGGTGAGAAGTACTAGGAAGAAAATAAGGCAGAGCCGGAAGATAGAGAAGGTGATATTCACTTAGAAAATAATTTGAGCCAACACTTGAAGGAAGTGAGAAAATGAATAATATGGAAGTCTGTGGGAGGCACATTCTAGGAAGAGGCAAAAGCAAGTGCAAAGGTGCTGAGGTTAGAGGGACCTTGGCTTGTTTGACAACATCAAGGGGCTAATATGGCTGGAAGGAAATGAGAGAAGGAAAGTAGCAAGAGATGGGGTCTGAGCATAGGGAGGAGGTGCAGATTGTAATGACTTTGACTTTTATTCTGAGCAGGTGGTGGGGGAAACCATTAGAGGTTGTTGAGCAGAGCAGTAAAATGATCTGACTTAAGTTTTAATGGATTGCTCAGGATGAGTGTGAAGACTAGACTTTAAAAGTCAAGAGCAGAAACAGGGAGCCTAGTTAAAAGACTAGAGCGATAATCTGGACAAAATACAGTGATGACTCAGGGTGGTAGCACTGCCAGGGATGAAATGCGGCTAGATTTTGGATGTATTTTAAAGGTAGAAATGACAGGGTTTGCAGATCGATTGGATGTGGGATGTGATGAAAAGAGAAAAGTCAATGATGGCTCCATAGTATTAGGTTGAATAACTTGAAAAATGGAGTTTTCACTTACTGAAATGGGAAGACTGCTGGTAAAACCAGCTTTTATAGACGAAGATCAAGGAACTCAGCCTAGTGTATGTTAAGTCTGAAATGCTTATTTGATTTTTAAACCAGGAGGGAAACCAGGAGAGTGTGGTAGCCTGAAAACCAAGTGCAGAAAGTGGAGGAGGATTTGACCAACCATGTCCAGTGTTGCTGAGTAAAATGGCTATTGAGTTTAGTAGCCACATGGAGATCCTTGGCTATATAGACTAACGGTGTCAGTGGAGTGGTAAGGGGCTACATGCTGACCGCAGAGCTTTCAAGAACATTGGAAGAAGAGAAATTGGAGGCAGTGAGTATAGACAAATCTTTTACACAGCTTTGCTATAAAGGGCAGGAAAGAAATGAGGTGGTAGCTGAATGTGGAAGTGGAAACAAGAGAAAATTTTTATTATAGGAGAAATGTGTATATGTTTACTAGAAAAATCAAATATATAGAAGAAAACTGATGTGAAGGAAATAGAGATAGAAATAGATAGATGATTGATAGATAGATAGATAGATAGATAGATAGATAGATAGATAGATAGAGAGAGAGAGAGAAGTGTTGCTGAAGCGATCCCTGTCAAGAGACCAAAAGAAGATGGAATTCAGTACACAGTGAAGGGACTAGAATTAAGAGCATGAAGATTTCATTTTTAGTTACAGGAGGAAATGTATGTGAGTGGGTGAAAATCTTGTGGAAGATCTCTTCTGTTTCCAGGTTCCCAGTGAAGTAAAAAACACAGTGATCAACTGAAAACAAGGGGGGTGTGTGAGAGATTTGAAAAGAGAGAAAGCATGATGTAGTCTTCTAGGAGAGTGAAAGGCTGAATGGACTTGGGAAATGTATAATTCCAGGTAACCAATGGTTTACTTGAGAAAGAAGAAAATATGTTAAGAAACAAGTTCTTCAAAGTGACTAAACTTCCAAAAGAAAACCAAATTATAGAAAGGCTTGAAATGGAAATGTTCTTACCTCATGTAATTGATATTGTTTGAGGCTTCCACTCTCATTAAATTCAGACAAGACATCCTTTATCTTCTTGGGAGAATCTGTAGAGACACAGTCCACATGTGAAACACTGGCGAAGAGCTAATGGGAGATGGGCCAAGTAAATTCTCTGTGTCTAACCTTTGCTGTGATGGAACAGCCCCTCACTCCCAGGATCATATGGGTATGTGTCACTCTTCTACTCTTCCCTCTCCTTTCCCTTTTTCCAGTACATTCTCTCTCTTGCTGTATGAAGTAACTTACAAAAACACAAATCTACTCAGGTCATGACCCTGCTCAAAACCCTTCGATGGTTCTCAGGTTCTCTAGGATAAAGGCTAACCCTCTTATCTCAATATATAGATACTTGGTCATCTGACCTAGTCTGTTTCTTAACCCTAACCTTAGCCTTCCATTCACCTCACTTTTCAGCCACATCAAACCACGTTTCCAGAAATCCCTGAATAAATCATGTACTTTTCATGCTGTTTCTTCCCTGTTTTGTAAACTTCACTCAATTCTCAGTGCCCAGCTCAAATATCAGCTTCTCTGTAAAGTCTTCTTTTACCAGTTAATCAGTCATTCCCTCCCTTGGAGTCTCATGTGACTTGTACATAACCATAACAGCATTTGTCAGATAGTGTTATTATTACCTTGTCTACCTTGCCCATATCCTAGCTTAGTTCTACATTGATAACTGCAATACGCTAGAACGTCTTTGTCTAAGATATCAAAAACATCTGAACAAAAAATTTTAAACATTTATATTTTTCTTAAATAGGATGAGTGGGCATTAAGCTGTGTGAGACTCTGTCCTTGGTGCTGAAACAGAGACTAAGAAGATTCCAGAAAAATAACGGTTTAGGAAATTCTGCTTTCCGTAAAAAATAAATTAGAAACTACTGGAGAAAACGGTGGATTCTTTGGTGGGGGTCAGGCTTATAAAGCAATTAAGAGTCCAGAAAAGAGGGTCTCTGATCATTATTAGAAACACATCCTGAGTGCATCAGTGTTGATACCAACACTCTAGACATTGAAGAAAACCAGGCTTTCTGAGTTCTCCCTGTTTCATAGTATTCTGGATAATTGAGGGCTTTTTAAGTTTCATTAATGCCACCATTTAAACATGTGAGCAAAGGGCAATGCCATTAAAAGCTGACACAGTGTTCTTTGGTGTTCAGGTTCTTTGTAGAGGGGACTATGGTCTCTTAGGCCCATGTGAAGTGCACGTGCTCATGGGTTGGGCTGTTCTCCATGGCACTGCTGACTTGGATCCAATCAAGCACAAGTTATAATCATTTCAAGATTGAGACGTATTGAAATGCCACAGGAAAATGCTGCTGATGCCTAAAAATGGACACTTCTTTCTGAAATTCAAAACAGATGTTGAAAAACTAATAGTTCAGTGAGATCCAGGCAGCAGATGCCATCAATTTGGGCTGTTTCCATTCAATTCACAAAACAGTATGGAGAATAAGATGCTGTGAGGTGTTCATGAATTAGTTGAGGAGATGATCTGAACCACTGTGGTAATTAATAATAGCCTGCCTTTATTGGAGACCTTTACTGCATATTCTCATATAGTATCCCCTACCATTCCATTAAAATTTGGTAAAATTGTCTTCAATTTACTGATGAAAAATCTGAAAATCAGGAAAAAAATGAGTGACTTGTCAGGGGATTGACTGTGGGAGTGGGGTTGGAATGGGTGGAGGAAGGCAAGGGGGGAAAATTGGGACAACTGTAATAGAATAACAAAAAAATCTTTAAAAAGCCAATATTACTTTCCCTTAAGCATTATTCATTATTTCTTTTCAAACATTTGCCAACACAAGGAAAAGCGTAATTAATGCTATAGCAATAATATGAAGCTCTAGGAAGCCTGGGCTAGAAGGGGTAAAAGAAGTGGGGAGGGAGTCAAATTAGGGTGGGAGTGGTGTTGGGGCGGAGCCTGGGGATACCCCTTGAAGAAGTTATCATTTGAGCTGGGCTGTAAAGAATGCATAAGGTTTTGAAAGACAAACATAAAATGAAGAGGGCATTTTCCGAAGGAGCAGGGTGGACAAATGTGGAGTTGGGTACCGCAGAACATTTGGGAAAAGTGAAAACCAGAAAGTAGTTTGCGGCCAGATTTGTGGGGGACAGATTTGAATGCCAAGTTAAGATGATTAATTTGAAATTGTTAAAAAATTTTGGGTAGTGGAGTAACATAACTCGGTCTCTGTTTTCTAAAGGTCACTCTGGCAGTCAAATGGAAGAGTTTAGAACAAGAACTCAGTTAACGCAGAACACAAATTATATTCAAATTATTCTATAAGTAGCTTAGTTGTTTTTTTAAAGCCATTATTTTTAGAATCTATTTTAGTGGGCGATTTTCAGCTCAGCCAGAGTGGCCAAACTGAAAAAAAAAAAAAGCACATTTTGGAACAGGAGGCCTCCTGGTGTGGCTTCTGCAAGAACAGTGTAGAGCAGCATTCTGATTGAGAACCAAGAGAGTAATTTCATTTGAATTTATACTCTTTTGATTATTGTCACATTTTGGAGATTTCACAGTTCATCCTAACAGAGATCCTTTGGTTCTAAATGCTATTGATCTAATCTCACTTTATATTTAAATGTATACTATATATCTATATGTAGATATACATTGATATGTATAGATTGTACACACCCCAACACATACATGTATATATGTATACATACACACATCATACACACATATTCATCACATGTTAACATTCAAGTAAACAGGTTTTAAAAAGAAAAACTAAGAAGTATTTATTTTATTTTATTTAATTTTTTACAAGTTTTATTTATTTATCTTTAGAGGGGAGGGGAAGGACAGAGGGAGAGAAATATCAATGTATGGTTGCCTCTTGTGCATTCCCTGCTGGGAACTGGCCTGCAGCCCAGCCATGTGCCCTGACTGGGAGTTGAACTGTGATTGTGTGGTTCGCAGGCCCGTGCTCAATCCACTGAGCTACACCAGCCAGGGCATGAGTATTTATTTTAAAATTTCTGGTTAGTATCTTAAAACTAAATAGCAAACAATGCAAGAAATTACTGGCTCTTAGATTTCCCTGAGGGGTCTTCCTCACTCCACATTTACTTGTTCTTTTATGAGCTCACAGCACCAAGGCCTTTCCCTTTTGAAAAAGAGAGACAATCTAATTCTCAAATATGATACCCATTACTTTCTCCTCAGATGTTCTTTGATACGTTACCACAGTGGCTGGTGTAGAGTGGATTGAGTGCTGGCCTGTGAATCAAAGGTTGCTGGTTTGATTCCCAGTCAGGGCACATGTCTGGATGTGGGCCAGGTCTCCCATAGGTGGCACTCGAGAGGCAACCACACATTGATATTTCTCTTTTTCTCCCTCCCTTTCCCTCTCTAAAAATAAATAAATAAAATATTAAAAAATAAAATGTCCTCATTAAAAATGATCTTTAGAGAGAGAGGAAGAGTTGGGGGAGAGAGGGAGAAGGGGGCAAGAGAGAGAGAATGAGAGAGAAAAACAGTTTGTTGTTCCACCCATCCATGCACTCCTTGGTTGGTTGTGGCCTGATGTGGGATCAAACCTACTACCTCAGTGTATCAGGATGAAGTTCTAATCAACTGAGCCACCAGCCAGGGCCTCAGAGTTTTCTTCTCAACAGATTCCTGGATTGGGTTTCTTTCTCCTGGGGAGTAAGTGGGCACTGCTCCATTTCGTTCCATCTTAATGAGGGGTTTCTTCTGAACATTGCCTGATCCTACCTCGGGCACCATCTCTGGGCCCAGTAGCTCAAGCTCAGCAGAGAACTCCCAGTCAAAGCCTGTATTACAAGACCAACACCAGACTCAGAGGAGATCAAGCTCTGTTTCTAAATGTCCACCATCCTTTGCCAACAATTCCTACTTTGTTGAGTGGTAGACATTATCTTAGTCACCTGATATATTTTATTTAAATGTCCATAATGACTTTCTAGTGTAATAATTATCCCTATTTAGAGAAGAAGAAATTGAGGTTTGTGGAATTTAAACAACTCTTTTTTGAAGGGCACACAGCAAATGAGTGGGTGACTCTGATTTTTAACATACCTAACAATGTGACACAGGTGCTGGATTCACTGGGTACATGAACACTGGGAAACGAGAAAAATAAGGCCCTTCCTTTATGACAGTGGCTCTCAAACCTGGCTGCATGTTATAACACACCGAAACTAGGTCTCATCCAGACCAGCGAAGTCAGCCTCTTTGGGGAACCCAGGAATCAGCATACTTGGAAGCATCCCATGGGTACCAAAGTACAGTCCAGACTCACAACTGCTGTTCGATGGATGGGTTTTTATTAGGAGACATGAAGAATGCCTTAAGTGGCTGAACATATTGGATAATTCTGTAAAAGGAAAAATTGTTTTTCACTCCGCTAAATCTAAAACCATGAGTGGCAGACATTCCCTGTTGTTTAGGTAGATAACACTAAAAAACTCCACTCAACAGATAGGTCAACCTACTCAGATGCTTGGCAAGGTGGGGATATGTTTTCCATTAGCCCAGACCTGCAGGACCATCAGCATGCGTTTTTAGCTCAAATCAGAGGTGTAGAAGGCTTTTCTCTGTGATCAAGGTCACTGGTGGTAACAAACACCCAAGGAAGTTTCAATACAAAATCGTCTCTTTATGCTTTATGTGCCAAGAATTCTGGGACCTTAACCAAGTACTTGTTCTTAGTGTTCAAGCAAATTCAAAGCCCTTTTAAGGAGAAAACTTGGCCCTACTCACAGGCACCTTTGCTGCCACATTTGTGTGGGACAGGGATGCCCTCTGTCTGAACACGCAGACAAATCAGGAGCTTTGGTGCTTATAGCTCATGTGCTGCCGACACTAGAACCCAAAGTTTATGGACCATCTTCCAGTTAAGAACACTGAATATTTGTAGTGGTCCTAGTTGGACCACTACACTGTGAAATAACTATAAATTAACATTTTCAAAAAGTGAATCTGAAAACCTACAGATGACAATGAAATTCTAAGGTACTCTGATAACTCTGCATTCCTCAAAGTTCCCTGAGAGCCTCT